ATTGGTCGGAGCACTCCTTCACGTGCACGTGCCTTGTGCAGGTAAATTCACAGCGGTTTGTCAAGCATTTCAGCGCTCATTTTTTGACACTAAGAAGGAACATGGGGACGTCATCTGACTAACATCTAGCAGCTAAATGTGTCGGGAGAAGGATTCAAAGGCATTTTTCATAAACAGCACTGATGTGAATGTGCCTAAATGTTCTTTTTAGCTAGAGTAGACGTCTCACATGGGCGTTTTCTAAATGTAAACGCACTCTTACCAGCAATTTGCCTTCTGTGTTCACACAGAGCAGCAAATTACTAATAATGTTACAACTTCTCTTTCCAGACAATTGGAGAAACTAATTTATTGGTATTTTCAAAAAAGGCTCATTCACACTTGATCCCATTCTTCAAAATTGCCTGTGATATTCCAGAAAAGTCTGTATGTGTGGTGATTGCTGTTTACAAATTACACCAGTGTTAGTATTCAATCACAGTGTAATTTTCAACAGTGTTTTTCAGATAAACACCAGTGTAATGTGAATATAACATTGTTCAGTGTTCAAAATACTTGAATTGAATTATGGGTAAATATAAATATATACAGCATATAACATATATTAAGTAAATATAAACTTATATAAAATAAACCTAATGGAGAAAAAAACTGATTGTTTTATGTGAATGTTGAACCAGGAACATTCCCAGATTCATCACATTGGTTAATATTGGCTTACATTAACTTTCAGACTTTCTCCCCTCAGTAAAACTGAAGATTTGATGGCTCTAAATCAGTAATGCCAGATGTTCTTACGAGGAAAATACCTATTACATACTGTCAGAAAAGGTGGCTTATTTATACAAATTCATATGATTTAATTCTTACAAAAACCGTTACTGAGATATGAACTAATCATACTACAATTCATAAAAATTTACCACTAAATCCAAAAGTTACTAATTTCTGTGATATTGTGTTGGTAAAGGTGCTTGTGGGTGCAGCTGGCAGCTAGCCATCTGCAACTCTCACATGCAGGGTTGGACCTGGATGGGAGACAACATGAGAAAGCTATGTTGCTGCCGGAAGTGGTGTTAGTGAAACCACCAGGAGGCGCTTAAGCTGCAGCCTGTGTGGGTCTTAACGCCCGCCCCAGTATAGTGAAATGAAATCTATACTGCTCAGTAAGTGCTGTCTTTTGGATGAGACATTAAACCGAGGTCCCGACTCTGTGGTGGTTAAAAATCCCAACATGTCCTTCAAAAAAAGATTATGGGTTTAACGCCGGCATCCTTGCCAAATTTGCCCTCTGGCCTCTGTCCATCATGGCCTCCTAACCATCCCCATATTTTAATTGGCCAATCAGCTGGTGTGTGGTGTGCGGTCTGGTGCAGTATGGCTGCCGTCACGTCATCCAGGTGGATTCTGCACACTGGTGGTGGATGAGGAGATTCCCCCAAAAATGTGTAAAGCACTTTGAGTGTCCAGAATAGCGCTATATAAATGTAAGAAATTATTATTGTTACCATTTGTTCTTAAACAGTAGAGAGAAAGAGAAAGATTGCAGTAACATAATCGTAGCATGGTATCATCGGAACAAAAATGTCTACATTTTTTTGTCAGCTCTAGTGGTTAGGGCTTAGGTTTGGCAATCCAAGGTATTGATCCATTAATTTAACTACTTGGTAAGGGAAAGGCAGGGTCAGCCTCTGAGTGCCCATTGCTCTGTCAGAACACAGGCCCCAAGAATGGTCTCTTTTTGTTTTTCAACTGTTTTCTTAAGCAAAATCGATGGAGTCATTGAATCATGAATCATGCCTTGACAAGCTCTTAATCTCTCTGGTGTATTGCATTTCACATCTCTTTCTCCACTCTGCGGAGCCTGGCCGCTAATATCCCAGATCATTTCCATAACAAGAAAGCTGGCGAAAGAGGATTGCAGTGTATTCGGTGTCGTGTCCTGCCATAACTTGATTTATGTGTGAAATACACATTCATAGGACCCATTACAAATGTGAGAGCGGAAATCATAATCCATTAAGCAGCACTGGGGGGTAATCATTAAACTGACTAAGACTGGCCTGATGCCTCATTAGCTTTTGCTGGACACTCTGTGGCATGATTGATGGCTAAAAGCATGATTAGCCATTGTTTCAGATAGTTCTCAGTAGTTGGATTATCTGTATGTGTTGTCGGAGCCAAAGCGTAGCATTAGCCGTAATGAGGGTTGAAAAAAAGGCCACAGTGGGATGTATTTTTGAACAATTTCAAGTCCAATCTGTGTTTTCTAAGCTTCGCTCTGGAATTATGTTAGCGCAAACATATGGCCCACAAAACTTGTTTTATGGATCTCAGAGCTACGCTGAATGGATGCTGGTAATCACGGTAAACGACGCAGAACCACTTAACACGGACCAGTCGGACGCTTTCTCGCACTTAGACTCTGGCGCTATAAAACGCCTCACTCATACTGCCAAATAGAGGAAGTTTCGCTTGAGAAACTTGTGGTCTCACTTTTCAGACATGTACAAAATCACTTTCTTATCTTCCCCCTGAGTACACAAGAGAAATCCTCTGTGCCTGAGAAGGTCAAAATATGATGTTTTAACCTTCTCTTCCTTCCTCACATCCCAGCCATTCTCTAAGACCAAATTAAACCCATCTGGGAGATTCGGTCCACACAAGACAAGGGAATTAGTTCTCTAAGTGTCTCTTATCTTACTTCCTCCACCGTTTGCCTTGCACGCTCTGTTTCTTCTTCAGTAATGAGTGTCTACCCAATTTAGGTCCTGTCCCTCTTGGGAAATAAATACTCCTCAGCAATTTCAATGAAGGAAACTGAAAATCTCAAAGCTGACCTCCAAGTCAGATGCATTGACTTTACTCTGTTAATACCGTGATGTTATACTAGCAGAACAGTAGCCAGCTAGTAGGACCAAGTAAAACACACTCCCCTGGTATCAAAAGTGCACTAGAGACGGACGCTATTGGTCTCATTGGAACTGTATCTTGCCAGCCTCCCATTCCCAGAATGCTGGTTCACTTTCCTTTCTGATCGGGTGTGTAGAACTGGAGAGTTACATTGGTGCAGTGACCCAGAGAGTGAGGTTAAGGGGGATAAGTGTAACAGATGCCAGCTTGTAGGATCACCCAAAGGTCCATATACAACACAATGTTTTTATAGCATTATGATAGCATCATTTTTGGGACTGAAAACACAGGAAAGTTGACAAAGTGAAAGTTTTTGAAAATGTCGTCAATGTCTTGTCCGTGTTATGGACAAGGTTCATATACAACACAATGTTTTTACCCAAAAATGTTTTACACATTATAGGATAGCACTGTCTGTACTATGCACTGGGTTTCGGGCAGCCGCTGTGATCAGATATTATACCATAGTCAGCGATCCCGATTGTAGGGGGGGGTGAAATTACAGGAGTTTTCTGGGAGAAATAACAAAACGGTAGATGGGTCTGAAATACGGGAGACTCCTGGGAAAAACAGGAGTGTCAGGTATGGTTGAAAGTGATGATGCCATGTACATCTATTGTACATATCTAGGGCAGTTTATAGTAAAGGCTTACACACATAAACGCATGAAACAATGGCTGAGTACATGGTAGTGTTGTTGCTCAAGTGTAAGCTCAACGCTTCATCAGCAAAGTGTGGATTTACTTGACATTGTAATCAAAGGCAAATATGCATCTTACACAGCAAATTATACTTAGCCGTAAAGACGCTGAAGACTACATGTACTATTTACTAACAAAGATGTGTTTGACCATTTTCACAGATTTGGGTAAACAGAATAAAAAAAACTGTTTAAAAAATGTTTTCAACACAGGCTCAATAAAAAAGTAGCTCTAAATACATTTCTGGAGATCACGAATTATGTAGCCAATGTATGGCTGCAGTTCATATTTAAAATGAACTCTACGGGACGGTATGACGCCGTTCCTTTTTGCTCTTACCAGCTTAACTCTGTATGGACGGCTTTTCCACTGTTACCAGTTTGTTCGTTGAAGAACGGTTCTAGAAAGTGCGTAAGACAAAAACAGAATCCAAAAAATAAAATAAACACTTAAATAACAGCGTGAGAATGTGGTCAAATCTGAAAACGTGGTAAAAATAATTTTCTGGATTGCTTTTTAAAACTGTTGGTTAGGTTTAGGGAGGAGACTGGGTGGGTCAACCAGTTATTTAGAAAACACTATTGGTTGGGTTTAGGGAATGAGGAGTGTGGGTAAATCCATCCGTCAGTCAGTAAGTCAGTCAGTTAGTCAGTCGACAGCGGTCTCTGGTGCTTTTACGCTAGAACAGTGAGTGTGAATGGCACTCACGAGAAATTTGAGATCTCAAAAAACGTACAAAGCCTCTGGTGGATTCGCCAAAACAAAAACTAAAAAAATTTATCTCCTGGGACATATTTGGTGCTTTCTGGAAATGGATGAATGTTCTCAATATTGTCATGTAAATGTGAACATTTTTTAAAATCAAGGAAAACTTTTTTTCTTTTTTGGCTGCATTGTTGTCGTGTAAACATAGTCTAAACCTGGCCTCAGGATATGCACTATTGACTGTTTCAAGGGATTACCATCTTTAGCTTTCATAGTGTACTTTATTGTATATATTATGCTCTATTCCATGCCCAGCCATTTCATGTTTGCTTTCACAGTAGCCTCAACCAAAGATGAGCATGGATGGATGAGTTTGACACATGCACAGTATCACTGTGAACTCATTCTGTTTCAATATTCACCTCACACCTACACTGCTGCACACAGACCATCTGTGACACTTCTGAAAATTATGTTTACACACGTGATTACACATACTGCGCTGACCGCTGTAGAAAACAGACATCCAAAGTATATTTGAAGCTTTAACTTGCCTGCCTCCCATGCTGGAAACTTCAGTTTGCTCAGAGTGAAGCATGAAGATTCATATTGTTTTAGTGTTCTTTTAATGCAATAAAATGCAATAAAACTGACAGTCATTTCTCTTCTTTCTCTCCCTAGCGGCTCCAAAAGGCCCCAAGCTTGTGATAAGCCCTACCAGGGCAAAGGTAGGGGATACGGTTCGTATCACCGTCCAAGGTTTCCAGGTAGGATCTCCTGGGGTAAGTGCATGGGGGTTATGAAACCAGGGCCAAGTTCAGTTTTGGATATGAGGAGGTTTGTCCCGAATGTGCAGTTAAGCCTGTGTGATGTACGGCTATAGTGACCATTCTTACAGAGTGTGCAATACAACACATGTATCTGTCAGCTCCTGACCTGCTGCTGCTATCTGTGAGCTATCAATCCAAATGGTTTCAGCCTGTCTGACGAAGGTTGCACTGTATCTGACAATATCAAACCATTCAATCATGTAGGTTGGGGTGAAATCAAAATGGAGGGTTTTCAAAGTCCTTTAAAGGTCACAAGAACAAAAACTCTAAAAAAAAAATAAAATAAAAAAATGGTCCATTGAAAAGCACTTAGGGCTGCAAATCAAAAAAAAAGTGTTCTTCAGCATTTAAGGTTATTCAGAAGTACTGGATACATATTGACTGTGAGATAAGATAAGAGTCTAATAAGAGAATCTAAATGCTTTCGTAAATGTACTGTAGACAGTCTGATATGCTGATGAAATGCCATTTAATTTGTGATATGTTTTCTTTAGATTGATTTGTCTGTTATTACTTTATATTTCAGTGTCATCTCCATAAACACAGAACAAATGAAATGTACAAAATTAATGCACGGTTGCATTTAATAAATCTCTTAAAATGAAAAACTGTCTGCATCATAAAATTGCTAAATGATATTTGTTTCATTTAGCCGTTTATGTGGTTTGCCTGCAGTTAAAGAAAATAATTGGTGCCTTAGAACACTCCAAAAACTATTGCCTTAATGATTTTGGCATCGTGTGCTATTAAGAATATGTGAAAAGCCTATGATGTTCAAGCAACAATATATGTTTCAATTAATAATTTGGAACTTGATTAGATTTTTATAAGCCAATTGCCAAATAGGCGTTTTAAGCATGCTTTTAGCATAAAATCTAATTTGTTCTTAATAACTTGTAAGGAAATAAGGACGAAAAACATAATTAGCAGGCGGTGGTAAGGTATGTCTTTCATACACTACCTGACAAAAGTCTTGTCACCTATCCTAGTTTGAGGAACGTTAAATAATAACTTGCTTTCTATTTGATCATTTGTTTTAGAAGTGGCTTTTATGAAAGGCAAATTCCTCTAGATTACGCTTATTTTACCAAAATAAAGTATGATCATGCCTTGATTTTTAATGATTTAATTAGGACAGTAAGGTCTGACGTAGCTTAGACAAGTGTCTTGTCACTGAACAGAAATAATTTACAATATAGAATATAAAGTCATGGTGCAGTTGGAAAAGAATTAATATTGTGTATGACTACCATGAGCTTGGAGGACTGCATCCATACATCTCTGTTCTCAAATAATTTATGAATAAAGTCATCTGGGATGGCAAAGAAAGCGTTCTTGCAGGACTCCCAGAGTTCATCAAGATTCTTTGGATTCATCTTCAACGCCTCCTCTTTTATCTTATCCCAGACATGCTCAATAATGTTCATGTCTGGTGACTGGACTGGCCAATCCTGGAGCACCTTGACCTTTTTTGTTTCAGGAACTTTGATGTGGAGGCTGAAGTATGAGAAGGAGCGCTATCCTGCTGAAGAATTTGCCCTCTTTTGTGGTTTGTAATGTAAAGGGCCCCCATACTGAATGTAACCCCAAACCATAATTTTTTCCTCACCAAACTTGACTGATTTCTGTGAGAATCTGAAATCTACCTTCTGCCACTTTTCCAAACGATCAACTAGAAGTCAAGCTATTATTTATTGCTTCCACAACTGGGATCGATTACAAGATTATTATCAGGCAGTGTATAGAGTGTAAAGTACTGTACTTTCTGAAAGCAAGGTTCTCATAAACCTGAGTAAATTATAACTGATCTAAATAAGACATGAAAACTGATAAAGATTACTTTTTTGTTGAAAACAAGATATAGCCCCAGAAATAAGGCAGAATGATTTATTGCGCTAACATTTGCCTAGTTCATGCTAATGCTTAACTTCTCTTACCGCTGTTTGTGTTCTGTTTGGTATTCTCACCAGAAGGCATAAGAGCATCTGATTAAAAAAACAAATCAGCTGTTTGTTGATGTATTTCGCTGCTGCTTTCAGGGATTTTGCTGCTTTCGTTTGCTCTTGTCAAACTTGCTAGCAAAACAGGTGCGAGCGCAAAGTTAGCCAGGAGCGCTTTACTGTCAACGGCGCCAAAATTTTATACTTGCTTCAGTAGTCCGTCAGCTCCACAGACTTAGTGAAGCAGGGAGATTGTCTCAGTGTAACTATCACCGCCTGCCAAGAGCTAAAAAATATATCTTCCCCCAGCAGATAAACACAGAAACAGTTTGGTGATGATCCGCCCAATCTTTTTGACAGCTCTGACTCAGAGAGGTGTCTAGCCAATGGCACTCAGGTGGAAAGAAATTAGACGTGATATGCTATCATCACTGAATCTACTTTACGCCATTTCATCATGTGTGTCATGAATTTAAAGGAATGCTAAAGTAGTTCTGTTCATCCTTTTTGGAAAATGGAGGAAACTAGGCTGTAGCTGGGTCTATAAAATCACTAGACATTGGCCAGTCTAAAATGACCGTTAACAGATTCAATCAGACTGCATTGTAGAAAAATTCTGGGGTCCACACAGATAAGTGAGCTTTATTGTTTTTACAAATGTAAGTGGATTAAACTTAAAACAATTTAGTTGTCCCAAAAGAACTCAATAATTGTGTTGATTCAGCTAATTTAAGCTGAAGTCATTTAAGCAAGAAGCAAAAAAAATCTTTATTTGAGTGTGGTTATTGTTAGATATACAGCAAACTAGTATTTAGCAGGTCATTTATGTGCAGTTTAGCAATTAAGGTTAGATGGGGATAATAGGTTTACCGGTTAGATTATTTTTGATGGATAGCAATTCCAGTTAAACATGTAAATTTCCAGTTGTACCAAACCGTACCATACCATAACGTACCACTCAGTGGAAAAGAGGCATAAGTCCTTTTACTGTACGTTCTCAATCTCACTCTTATTTGCATTCAATACCCCAGTTTGTCACGGGTGTATGAATGAAATGTTCATAAGTTAAGTGAAACTGCCGAACTGCAGTTTTAGTCAGGCATCCTGCTGATTGGATTCAGAAGGGCACTTTTTTGTCAGATGTCTCTCCAGGCAGGTATACATTCACGCTAAAATATCAAGGTAAAAGTCATCATAGCTTGCGTAGAATAGACCCAGCTCCCAAGCTTGAGAATAGATTAACAGCGATTTTTATTTTTTTTATTACGATCACGCGATAAGAGTCTCACGTTAATGTCTCTCCGATAACGGCCCACCACTATATATATATATATATATATATATATATATATATATATATATATATATATATATATATATATATATATATATATATCTCATGCGACAATACAAAACAGTATTGCTGCTTCAGAATATTTCAGACACATGGACATATTGGATAATTAAGTGGATCAAAGCCACACCACCTGCAACTTGATCTTCCATTGTTAAAAGAATTTGATAAATAGGCTATTATCATCAACTCAAAAAGTTAGTTTTTCAAATATAGACGCGAATGCGAGCTCTCTCAAGAAAGTGAAACCGCTGGTGCTTTTAGATGACAACAACAGGACTCAGGGTAGATTCTGTTCTTCTTGGCTTTGTGGCTGTTCATCAAGATGATAGCAATGTTTGTTTAAGCTCAGGTCAACCATGGCTTGTTATTATATGTATATATTATTACGGTGTAATATTTCGGCTATGTATTTAAAAATGGCACTTCCTTGGTTTTCATTCTCCTGGCTTGTGCATGCGCTAGTGATGTTTCTCTGTAAACTAATAGCATTCAGCTGCATGTCTAGCTCCGCCTTTTGGTACCCTTTTGTTGTGCTAGGTAACCTTTCGAAAGAGTAGCGAAATAGTGGTATGGTATCGTTTGCTCTTAGATACCTTTTGACAGTGGAAATGGCCATAAAAGCATACTGTACCGTGTCGTACCACTCAGTGGTAACGGACCATTTAGACCAACTAATGACCAGCAGTCAAAACCAACAAATGCCCCAAAAATTCTGTTATGGCCCCTGCACTATTAAAGGAAAATAAAATATTTTTAAAAATGGCATTTTGGTCTGCATGCTAATTTATTTCTTCATTTACCTGTATTTGTTTGTTTGTTTGTTTGTTTGTTTGTTTGTTTGTTTGTTTACTCATTTAAGTAATTTTATTAAATATATATATATATATTATTTTTTTATTGCAGCACTAAGCACTATAGCCAATAAAAAAAATAAATAAAATAAATTGAGTTACCTGAAAGTATGGAGGGAGTTTGTCTGGCAGATCGGCGTGTTTGTTTCACCCACAATTTACATATTTGAAGTCCACCTTTGAATAATAAAGAATGGTCACCATAAACAGGCTTGACGGGGACATAAATCCAGTTTTGGATCTTAATATTTGCACCCAAGATTTCAGAGGATTGTAAAAGCCAATGGAGATTTATTTGGAAGAAATGTCTCCCTTATCCTTAGCTGCTCCAAGGCCCTGGGTTTCACATAAGATAAATGTTAACACAGAAAGCTAAACACTTCCCTGCAAATCTTAAACAGCCACACACACACACACACACACACACACTCACAAAAAAAAAGACTTAATATCCCCTTTGGTTTACGTTTTCACTCAGCAGATGAGGTCACATTGGTGACTTTCTCTTTTGAATAGACTACAAATTAAAAAAAAAGCATTCATGCACTCCAAGAGCTTGTCTTACCATTACATGTTGATTTAAACTGTGCCATGGGGGATATTTTATTTTTTTTAATATGAATCTGACCTGATTCTACTAGCAAGTACAAACTCATTTCACTGCTGTCATGGTGTGAATGTGGAAGTCCAGTGACACACAGCCAAACCACACTCTCCAATGAGCCATTATCAAAGGTCACCCAGACAAACCGCATGATTTCGTGAAGTTAGATGGATTGTGCCAGCCAGTCACTTATCACACCTAGAACATGAGTAGATTGGTTTGATCAGCGGGGGAAAGATATCCGGAAAAACTGGATCAGGATGTAGCTCTGGCACTGACATTTTCTGCACGCTTTCTGGGTTTCATCTCACCTGTCCTCTTGTGTAGAATCAAACGCAGACCCCGTAGCCAGATCTCAGAGGTCCAGACCTCAGTAAAGTTTTCATTTGGATAAAAAAAAAAGTGAAAAATGATTTAAATCATGTCGCTGAATAAATTCAGACTGATTAATGGAGATTCTTAAGGGCGCAGATTCCCAGTCCTTCGTGTTGCCAGATGTTGTTATAACAAGCGTTGCTCATTTTAGGCTTGTTTTTAATCCTTGATGTGACAGTGTTAATAAAAATAATTAGGGGCATTAATTATCTGAAGATAGGGTTGGGATGAGCAATTCTATATCCTGTTTGCAAATTCTTTTTGTTTATTTTTCATAGCAGTCTCTGGCAACACTGCAATGATGGCACATGAAAACTGACAGGCGTTATATACTCTATATATGAATTTGTAGCCAGTATTATTGCAGTTTTTAACGACACCCACACCCCAAGCTACGGCCTTGGTCAAGTATTCTAATAGTGAGCGTTTGTAAGCATTAAAACGCAACAGCTCGCTCAGACATTGAAAGATTGTGTATTGTGTTAGTGGGCTTCCAGGCATAGTTGCAGACAATGCTACACCATGGATCTCAGTAAAGGAGTGTATAAGCATATTTAATATTCTTTACCTCTTGTGGACTACTTGTTTGATGTTATTCCTCCTCCCCCCTTATCCCCCCACCCCCACCCCAAAACAACTATCAGACCCCTTATATTCCTCTATTTGTGTAAGAACAAGAAATGCTTAAACATCTTCTTATTTCGTTGCAATGATTTATAAACATGACTTGATGAGTTGGTACAATGTTTATTTTTTCTGTTTTCTGTTCTGTTTTTTTTTTCAAAAGGAAAGGTATTGATTGATTGATTGATTTGATTTGATTTGATTGATTGATTTGATTGATTGATTAATTGATTGATTGATTGATTGATTGATTGATTGATTGATTGATTGATTGATTGATTGATTGATTGATTGATTGATTTTTAATGGGTTTGTACAATTTATAAATGTTTTTAATGTGTTAAGATGCCATTGTTCAATGTACTGAATTTCTAAGGGATGCACAAATACTAATATTTTGGATAATCAAGATCAATCAGGGTTATTTTAGTTTCAATTACTAAACTCATAAAATGAATGATCATTGTCGTAATATAAAATAAACATTATATGGAATTAACATTTAAAAACTTGAAAATATTTATTTTCATTTAACTTAATCTAAAATAACTAAATACAAAACAAAAAGATATATTTAAATTAATAAGAAAAAAAGGAGAAGAAAAACTACAATTCCTAATAAAAGCAGCAAAAATACAATGAGTCCAATAACTGATAGTTGTATTAATATGTCACATTATCCAGTGCTCAACATAAATGAGCAGACCCTATTTAGAAAAATGAATATTTTATTCATTTCTTGTAAAAATTGGCTTTGTAAAGCTTTCCATTACAATATTAATTTAAAAGATTAAAAAAATAAAATAAAACAAAAAAATAAATAAAACATCATCACAACATTTTACAATTAACGCTGTAAGATATAGTAGGCATCAATAAATTTATTTGTAAAAGTCATTTTTGTATGAAACTAAAAATTTTAAAGTGGTGCTAGTGCGAAAAGCATGAGGTGTAAATGAAAAAGTGTACATTTAAATAGATAACTAAATAAATATAATAATGACCAACTAAACTTCTCTGACCACATTTCTAGAACCGCTCGATCTTGCAGATTCGCACTCTATAACATCAGAAAGGTCCGACCCTTCCTATCTTAACATGCAGCTCAACTCCTTGTTCAAGCTCTTGTTCTCTCCAGACTGGGCTATTGCAACTCTCGACTAGCCGGGCTTCCAGCTAACTCTATCAAACCTCTTCAGCTGCTTCAGAACGCAGCAGCACGAGTGATCTTTAATGAACCTACAAGAGCACATGTCACTCCGCTACTCATCCGTTTGCACTGGCTGCCTGTTGCTCCTCGCATCAAATTCAAAGCTCTGATGATTGCTTACAAAGCAACTTCTGGCTTTGCTCCTTCTTATCTGCTCTCACTTCTGCAGATTTATGTGCCCTCCAGAAACTTGCGTTCTGTGAATGAACGTCGCCTCGTGGTTCCATCCCAAAGAGGGAAGAAATCACTTTCCTGAACTTTCGCATTCAATCTGTCCAGTTGGTGGAATGAACTCCCTAACTGTATCAGAACAGCAGAGTCACTCGCTGTCTCCAAGAAACAAATAAAATCTCAACTATTTAGTCTCCACTTTTCTTCCTAATCTGCAATTGCCTCTCTGGCTCCACCGCTAACTGTACTACACACACACAAAAAAAAATTACTAATGTTTTTTGCATCTAAAAATTTACATACCTAAAACTTGCCTACAGCACTTATTCATTTTTACTCTTATAGTTGTGTAAATTACTTCCTTGTCCTCATTTGGAGCACTTTGGATAAAAGCGTCTGCTAAATTACTAAATGTAAATGTAAATACACAATAGTGTAAAATAAGTAGATAATAATAATTCTAAAATATTGAAAAAATTACTTTACGATTAATACAAATTAAACAATTTGATATTAAAAAATACAATACATTAAAAATACAATCGATCAGATGTAGCAAAACTAATTAAATTGTATAATAACACATTTTATTTAAATTAAGGTAAGTAAATTAAAATATAAATAATAATATACAATAAGCACGGAAAAAAGTTAATAGAAACTTAGAAACTAAATATTCCCCCAATAAAATTTCTGATTCAAATGTAATTTTTTTCTTAGTGTACAGTTCATGCTATAACTATATGGCTACCATTTAAGTGATTTGATGGAGGTCCCACACACAAAAAAAAATCTTGCTTTGTCTGTATAATCTAAAAAACAAAAAACTCCTGCATTAGATGCCAAAAATACTGATAAAAAGGAGATCTTATTACAGTTTAGTATGGAATTAAATTATTAATAAAAAGTAATATTATCTAACAATAAGTATATCGTGCATCTCTTCCTATGTCTTGTGCTTCTGACTGATTTTTGTTTCCTTTCTCCCTTATGCACTTAATTACACACAAACACACACAGAACGATGTGTTTCCTGAGCCTTTGTACACCTGGACGCGGGTGGGTGGCAGACTGCTGGACGGCAGTGCAGAGAAGGATGGGAAGGAGCTGATACTGGAGCGAGTGCCTGCTGAACTCAACGGCTCCATGTACCGCTGCACGGCCCAAAATCCACTGGGCTCCACTGACACACACACACGCCTCATTGTTTTTGGTAAGCATTTCGTTTTCAGCATTCAGAAATACCCTAATATATTGCATCCTTTTCTGAAATGTTTTCATTGTCCAAAATAGATTTTATGTTTAGTCTGTGAAAATAGCATTTCGATTTGGGTTGATTTTGAACTTTTTTTTGGACAAGATACAGTGCATCCGGAAAGTATTCATTGCGCTTCACTTTTTCCACATTTTTTTGTTACAGCCTTACTCCAAAATGGATTAAATTAATTAATTTCTTTAAAATTCTACACACAATACCCCATAATGACAATGTGAAAAAAAAGATTTTTTTAAATTGTTGCAAATTTATTAAAAATAAAAAAAAAAAACTGAACAATCACATGTACAGAGGTATTCACAGCCTTTGCTCAATACTTTGATGATGCACCTTAAGGCTGATTTATACTTCTGCGTCAAACGCCGGCGTATGCTACGGCGCTGACGCATAACCCTTCGCCGTGGCCATCGGCGTCACTGACATGCACCTCTCAAAAAATGTAACTACACGTCGCAACGCCGCGTAGCGCAAGCTCTTTGATTGGTCGGCTTGGTAGTGCTGACGAGTCTGGGCGGGGCCGAGAGCCGCGTGAATGGCGCGAGCGATTGTTTACAAGTGTGTAGAGCTCCGGATGGAAAGTTTTGTTTTGTGTTTACCTCATGGTTAAAGTTGTTGCATGTCCGCCGGTTCCTGCCTCAAAATGAGTGAGTTTGAGCCACTTGTACATCCCGGAAGTGTTCAGGAAATGCAAAAAAGCAGAGAAGAAACTCGACACAGAGGAACATTTACACTTCACTGCCAACTAGCGTTTCGGAAGTGTTAATGCAGACCAACAGAGACAGCAAGCAGAAGTATAAATGCACAGCCACGCACGTTGCATGCGCCGTGGGTTACGCCGGTCACTTGACGCAGAAGTATAAATCAGGCTTTAGGCAGCAGTTACAGCCTCAAGTCTTTTTGAATATGATGCCACAAGCTTGGTATACCTGTCTTTGGGAATTTTTGCTTATTCCTCCTTGCATAACCTCTCAAGCTCTATCAGATTGGATGAGAAGCAACGGTGTGCAGCAATATTCAGATCTCTCCAGAGATGTTCAATAGGATTTAGGTCTGGGCTCTGGCTGGGCCACTCAAGGACATTCACCGTCTTTGTAAAGCCACTCAATTTATATTTTGGTGGTGTGCTTTGGGTCTTTCTCCTGCTGGAAGATGAACCGTCGCCCCAGTCTGAGGTTTAAGCAGCATTTCAGTCAGGATGTCTTTGTACATTGCTGCATTCATAAGTTTCTCTATTCTGACTAGTCTTCCAGTTCCTGCTGCTGAAAAACATCCCCACAGCCTAATGCTGAAACAACCATGCTTCTCTGTAGTGATAGTATTAGCCTGGTGATGAGTGGTGCCTGGTTTTCTCCAAACGGAATGCCTGGCATTCAATCCAAAGAGTTCAATTTTAGTCTCATCAGACCAGAGAATTTTGTTTCTTATGGTCTGAGAGCCCTTTAGATACCTTTTGGCAAATTCCAGGCTTCCGTCTGGCCGCTCTACCATAAAGGCCTGATTGGTGGATTGCTGCACAGGTGGTTGTCCTTGTGTAAGGTTCTTCTCTCTCCACAGAAGAACGCTCAGAGAGGGTGACCACTGAGTTATTGATCACCACCCTTCTCCCCTGATCACTCAGCTGAGATGGTCTTAAAAGGTCTACAGACAGTTCCTTTGTCTTCATGCTTGGTTTGTGCTTTGACATGCCTTGGACCTTTTATAGACAGGTATATGTCTTTTCAAATCATGTCCATTCAACTGTATTGACCACTGACAGGTAAACTCCAGTTAAGCTGCTGAAACATCTCAAGAATAATCAGTGGAAACAGAATGTACCTGAGCTCAATTTAGAGCTTCAGGGCAAAGGCTGTGATTACTTATGTACATGTGATTCTTCGGGTTTTTTTATTTTTAGTAAATTTACAATTTCCAAAAAACTTTTTTCACATTGTCATTATGGGGTATTGTGTGTAGATTTTTGAGCAAATAAATAAATTTAAACCATTTTGGAATAAGACTTTAACATAAAAAAATGTGGGAAAAGTGATATGAATACTTTCCGCATGCACTGTACAGTATATCTAATTAGCATCTTTAAATGGAAACGTATAGCTTTAGCATTTCATAAATCACCAACAAAGACCACAAAGTTTCAGCTAAAGTTTTGACCAGAAGGTGAGTAAATTACCAACAGATTTTTTTTGATCAAGTTATAACCCTTTAAATCTTGACCAACAAATTTGCAATGCCTCTGGAATTTCCTAATGGTGTATCGTCTTTCATTACCACAAATATAAAATTACCAACATCTTGTTAAAAGAAAAATAGCCTCTTTGGTGTGATAGTTTTATTCCCCTGTGGTTCTGTCTAGCCGTCCTTTGCTGCTGAAACAGATGCTGTGCCCACTAAGTCTAGGCTTTGTTTTCATTGATGTTAGAAAGAGATTGCTTTGCCGATGCTGTTGTGAGTGTGTGTGTGTGTTTGTGTGTTTTGCCGCCCCTGGACTAATTTCCCCCCTGAGCTTTCGAGGCTGTCAGGGTTTATGAGAGATCTGCTTATAGCGTGAGCGCAGATCTAATCAAAGATGTGCTTTGGAAGATGAAGGACAGTCGGTGCTCCTCTGGATAATCCAAACGACAGCCAAGGCTGAGGACAACACAACGAATATGGTTTACCATTAGCCATGAACATACAATTGCACCCGATATCAAATGAATCAGTTGTTTATTGCAGATTCAAGCACATGGGAAGATGATTTGTCTCACTCCTCAAAATAATGCACAATGCTATATTAATATCCTATATGACCTTTGATCAGTTAAAAGGAAAAATTCATGCAGTGAATGGCTAATGTAGCTTTTAAGAAATTATTAATATACAGTTGAAGGCAAAATGATTAGCAGATTATTAGAAATTTTAATTCTTTTATTAATATTTCCCAAGTGCTGATTAACAGAAAGAGTTTTGCTAGTTGTAATAACTTTATTATATTATTGTAGTAACTCTCTAATAACTCTAGCTATTTTTTTTTCATCTTTGCCATGATGACAGAACATAACTTTTTTTGTTGTTGTTATTTTTCAAAATACTAGTATTCGGATTAAAGGCTTAACTACAGTAGGTTAATTGGGCTAACTAGTCAAGTTAAGTTAATTAGGCAGGTACAACAGTGGTTTATTCTTTAGCCAACCGAAAAAATAAAATATGTAGGCTAATAATATTGAAGATCCCCTAATATGCGTTGTTAAAAATGAACTTCCATGCCACACAGTTCAAAGTGAAGGAAAACATATAGCTGAGGGTTAAATCTGAAATTGTACCTTGTTTAAAAATATAGATTATTTTAATATAAGATTTGACTCAGAGTCATTTAAATGATTCGTTGTTTGTCTGAATAGTTTGCCTGTTCCTATCCATGTTAACACGAAACAATACCAAATAAGAACTGCTGGATCGAGTAAAACATGAACGCGCCTTTCGCTTTAGATACAACCGAAGTGTGAGGGATTATGGGATTGATTATGACACGAAGATTACTATCGCTGAGAGATGGCCAGACATTTGGCTGTGGGGAATAAAGGGTTAAAGTTCACTTTCACAACAACACCACAGTATAGCCCAATGGTTTGCAAAGGAGGGGTTGTTGAACAATGAGTGGGGGTCGCATGGTTATTTCCCAAAACTAAAATATTAGAATTAGGGAGTAGAAGTTATAAGGACATATTTTATTCATAACCTACCGAACAAACAGTAGTTAATAGTTAAGCCTTTCTGTTATTATTAATAAGATTTTTTTCCATTGGATTCCGACTCCTGGGGTGATTAGCCAAAGCAATAGCATCAGATGCAACAGGTTAAACTTTCTGATACCTTTACAGCATTTAAGTACATTAAAAATAAATACAGGCCATGACATGGAGGATGGTCTCTAAAATTAAACCGAGAATGAAGTAACATGAAAGATTTGTATATTTATAATAACATCACAGGATAATGGGGTTCACGAGTGACTGGCATTGTTATTTTGGGGGCTGTGGGCGGAAAAGTTTGGGAATATACCCTGATATCGACAACCATGTGTTGTGTTTGTTCCTGTCATTTTTCTGATGATTGATATAATAACCCTGCAGCGCGGGATTCACCGGCTGTTTGTCATTAAATGAAGGATCAGCAAAGACTACTAATGTATGGGTCTTTGTCAGTAACTGTTACACAGTTTGTATGAACCAGTTTCTTCTTCCTTCAAAGCCTGTGAGTGTTTCTTCTTTCTGCAGTTAAGGTGTGATTAAAATGGTTGCCTCGTTTTCTGTAGTTTCCAAAATATGTATTTAGTTATGTGTTGTATCTTGTGATCACTCTGCACGGCTTGTAATCACTTGTCTATGATAGACCAGTGCTTGTAATATATCTCTTAGGTTAAATCTTTATGGGCTATTCATTTATTGCATCCAAACCCATGTTGAAACGCAACGCCTGCTTCTTCCTTTACCGATTTAAATGTGTTTTCTGCTGGCGATCTCCTGCTGTTTCTCCACCATCAGCTGTTCCTCACACATGCGGTCAATTTTCTAAATAGTTTTTAAAAAGACAATGAAAGTGTTTTTGACCTAGCTTGTTGTTGGAGACCCTGAAACCAAAAAATGGCCTTTTATAATGCATAATATTGGTTCTTTAACTTGAATTAATGTTTAAAAGTAAAAAAAAAAGCTTTTATTTCAGCCAAAATAAAAGAAATAAGAAAAAAAGTGTATTATAGGACATACTTTAAAAATGCCCTTGCTCTGTTAAACATCTCTTTAAAAATTCACATTTCACAATAATTTCCCTTCTACTGTATAGTATGTATCATTAATCATTTTATGCTTTATCAAAAATAAAATACATCATTTAATGTTCATAAGAAGATTAATTTTGCATCTGTGTTGTTAATAGATAAAACACACTTGATTATCTCTCCCTATTTGTGTCCTAATTTGTGCTGCTCTTTGTAGATTACATTTGTAGTAATAGAAATGAGCGGCTGCGGCTGTGTTCTTTAATTTGAACACTGTCAGTAAAATCACTCGCAGAATGCTTTCATAAGATTGCCGCCTCAAGCTAATTTAATCCTAATCCTTAATGTTAAATTTCGAATGCACTATTGCTTTTAAAAATACTGTAACTATCTCTTTTCGTTAAAAGGATAGTTCAGCCAAAAGTGGAAATTCTGCCATCATTTACTCACCCTTTAATTTGTTTAAAAATTTTATGAGTTTATTTCTTCTGTCAAAGACAAAATGAAGATATTTTAAAGAAGGCTGAAAACATGTAGCCATTGACTTCCATAGAATTGTTTTCTTTTCATCAAAATATTTTTTTCACAAGTATTTGCTCTCTTGTTAATTTTTTTATATATATATATCGCTATAGCCACTATATATATATATATATATATATATATATATATATATATATATATATATATATATATATATATATATGCACTGCTGAAAAATACCCTATTTTGCAGTTTAAAAGTTCATATTTTGGTTTTGGGGGTCTTTAACAACAGGCTGATATGCATGCAGGGTCAAAAAACGCTTTCATTGTCTTATAAAATTCATTTTAATTTAACCTAATTATCCCAACAACTCCCATATGATTCGTTCAGAGATTCATTTGACTGAGGGTAATCTGCGCTAATTGGTGCGATGACACAGTCTTCTGTGATTGGTCGACTGCGTACATCGCGAGATGAAGAGAAACGCCCAAGAAGTAGTCAGAGCACAGATGCAGGAATGCAATAAAGCAATGCAGTTAAACACCAGCCAATTCCTCTATTCTTAACACTAACCCCAAGTAATAACAATGAAACACATTCAGTATTAATTCACACAGTGGCAAAAGTTGAAGTATTTTGAAAATTTACCGCAATGCGCAACAGCTGATGGTGGCTATAGCGAGTTCAGAATTGTGTTTAAATCTGTAAAGTAAGAAGCGTGTGTCACTTTTTCAAAATGGTTTTGGACACAATATGTGAATATCCCCATAAAGATTTATCCTGAGAGATACAGTACAAGCACTGATCTATGAGTGAATACAAGCCGCACAGAGTGATAACAAGTTACAACACACAATTAAAGACATATTTAGCAAATAACACAAAACGAGGAAACAATTTTAGTTACACTTACATGTTATGATCCAGAGAAAAAAGAAACTGGTCCACTGTAATACTGTAGAATTGTAACAGTTACTGACAAAGTCCCATAGTCTCTGCTGCTCCTTTTTTTAATAGCAAACAGCTTACAAATCCCGCATAGCTGTAGAGGTTATTGTATCAAAAATCTGAAAAATTACATGAACAAACAGCACACGGTTGGCTATAATGTGGTGTTTTCGTGAAAATGTAGCCAAACCTCCATCTGTCAGTGATCGTTATCTTTGTGTCATGATCGGTCCCATGATCCTGCGCTTTACTAGTGTCTGAAGGGAAAGGTGCGTTCACAATTTACCGGATCCAGCACTTTATATTTTGTGATGTACCGTATCGACGTTGATGCAGTCAAGCAAAAGATCCAAACCCAACTCGATTCATTTATTTGACTCTGAGTCGACTATTTCGTTAAAGAATCATTAGCTTTAAACACTTACAGATTTAAACACGGTGCACTTTTAAATGTATGTTTTCATTCGCTTAGTGCTGTGTTACTGCAAGGAATTTTTTTTTTTCAGTATTTCCTATAATGTTTTTTTTTTTTTATCTGGAGAAAGTCTTATTTGGTTTATTTTGACTAAAATAAAAGCAGATTATATTAAAAAAAAAAAAAAAAACATTTTAAGGTCAATATTATTAGCTCTCTTAACCAATTTTTTTTTCAATTGTCTACTTGCTTATTTAACCTAATTAGCCAAGTTAAACCTTTAAATGTCACTTTAAGCAGAATACTTGAAAAATGTCTGGTGAAATAGTCGTCATGGCAAAGATAAAAGAAATCAATTATCATAAATGAGTTATTAAAACTATTATGTTTAGAAATGTGTTAAAAAAAATCTTTCCATTAAACAGACCTTGGAGAAAGTATACAGGGGGTGGGGGTAATTCAGGGGGGCTAATAAATCAGAAAGGCTAATAATTCCAATTTCCAACTGTATATGTGTTGTGTTTAAGAAACTTATATATGTTTGGAACCACTTGAGGGTACGTAAATAGTAAGTGCATTTTTTTTGGGGGGTGAACTATCCCTTTAAGACACAAATGCCCACTTTAAACTGTTCCTTTAAGTAAGAACAGGCTGTTCATCCTTCCTTTCCAAAGACCTCTTCTTAACAATCTCCAAATCTTTACACAGGGTTAATTTTAGTTGGACGTGGTTATTTAGGGATGGTGTCACCAGGGAAATTGTTAATGCCCTGCATCATCATCATCATCATCATCATTTAATTCATACTCAAGCTTTTGAGTCTAAATACTGGTGTCACAAAGGGCAGAATGATGATTAAAAGCCTTTGAACTAGTCTACTATTGACCCGTTTCAATAGTCATTCATTAGAGCCCATCAGCTGCATTAAAGAACAAAGATGAGCATTTGGGAGCATGGAAGCTTGCAGCATCAGGTCTTGTTAATAGATTTTTTGCTGTTGTGGTATTAGTTGTGCTGGCGGTTGGCGAATCTTGGAAAATATTTTTGCTGGGTTCACAGCGCGCTCAGGGTTCAAAAGGTTCCAGTCTTTGGTGGATTTTACATTGAAGCCTGCCAAGAATAGGAGTGAACTTGTGAACTTTGGCAGCCAATACAGCTCTTCTCTTGTATTATTCCTGTTTTTGAGAGCCGTGTGGTTTTTATCCATTATTAAACCACAAACCTATGATGGTTACCTTGTGTTTTATCCACTAATTCTCTCTCTTTTTCTCCCTCTCTCTTTCTTCAACTCCCTCTTTTCTTCCTCTGTTCTGCAGAAAACCCGAGTATGATGAAAAACACACAGAATCCAAACAGTAAGTATTTGAACGCCTCAATGATTAGGTTTCTTGGCTGTGAGCCTTTTGCTGACTCTTGTTTGAGAGGCTCTTTAATGATTTGAGAATTACAAGAGAGCGGTTCCACAGTGTTTTCTTCCTACGGGTGGTGTAATTGCTAAATTGCACAACTAAAGTTTTTTAAAAATTACAGAGATGCAGTAAGGCTAGGTCAAAACACTGTTTCCCACACTGCTCTCAACTTGTAGTATATCTCCGTGACTGAATGTGTTTTGTTTGTTTTCTTTTTATTAACTGGATTACATTTCTCAAACTGCTATTGATTTCTGAAATAACAACTAGTGTAGGATTACTCGCTGAACATTGAAGTAGTATTTGTGTAGTATTATTTTAGTAATGTTTTTTTGTTATGGTAAGACTTTACAGTAAGGTTCCATGTTAGTTAATGTATTTATTTACAAAGATGAATAATAAAATAAAATTTAAAATAAATAAAGTAAATAAAATAAAATAAATAAAATAAAATAAAGAATGGTAAATTTACACTCACTGGCCGCTTAATTAGGTACATCTTACTACTACTAGGTTGGACCCCCTTTTGCCCACTGAACTGCCTTAATCCTTTATTGCGTAGATTTAACAAGATGCTCGAAATATTCCTCAGTGATTTTGGTCCATATTGACATGATAGCATCACGAAGTTGCTACAGATTTGTCGGCTGTACATTCATGATGCGAATCTCCCATTTCACCACATCCCAAAGGTGCTTATAATTGAAATTTGGTGACTGTGAAGGCCATTTGAGTACAGTGAACTTATAGTCTTGTTCAAGAAACCAGTCTGAGATGATTTGGGCTTTATGACCTGGTGTGTTATCCTGCTTATCAGAAAATGGGCACAGTGTGGTCATAAAGCGATGGACATGGTCAGCAACAATACTCAGGTAGGCTGTGGCATTGACACGATGCTTAATTGGTACTAATAGGCCCAAAGTGTGACAAGAAAATATCCTACACACAATTACACCACCACCAGCAGGATGTTGTTCATTCGATGAGTTGTCCAGTCAGAGATGCTCTTCTGCATACCTCTGTTGTAAAAAGTGGTTACTTGAGTTACTGTTGCCTTTCTATTAGCTCAAATCAGTTAAAGCCTCTGGCATCAACAAGGCATTTGCACTTACAGAACTTCCGCTCGCTGGATATTTTATTTTTTTTTGGACCATTCTCTGTAAACCCTAGAGATGGTTGTGAGTAAAAATCCCAGTAGATCAGCAGTTTCTGAAATACTCAGACCAGCCCATCTGGCACCAACAAGTCACTTAAATCCCCTTTCTTCCCCATTCTGATGCTCAGTTTGAACTGCAGCAGATCGTCTTGACCTGCATGCCTAAATGCATTGAGCTGCTGCAATGTGATTGGCAGATTAGAAATTTGCATTAACGAGGAGTTGGATAGGTGTACCTAACTAAGTTCCCGATGAGTGTATAACAGTATTAATTCATATTTATTAACATTAGGTAATGAAAAAAAATTTTATCTTAGCATCTTTGCAAGCACAATTTTTAATTATGCACGAGTAAATGGTAAACTATGATTAGGTAAAGCTGAAATTGATCATTCTTTGTTCTAAACTAATGCAATATTATTGTCAAGTATACTATTAAAGTACTATGTCATTTATTATTTTAAATCGTGACGCTTTTGTATATTCTTGGTTTTCATCTTTATTTTTGTTACAAGAGTTCACACTTAGAGATATTGCTCGGCACTATTAGCATGTTTGTCATGCTGTCCCAGGAGAGAACTCGGAGATAATTGAGCCCAATAATAATTGAAAAGAAGGTCCAAGATCAGGTAGAGCTCGAGAGCTCCCACTGGTAAATGGGGTTAACAGAGGAGATGGAGTGGAAGGGGGATTATTCTAAAACAAAGATAAGGCAGTAGGATGAAATTGGTCTATTTATTGTAGGCTTGGATCAATCTGATTGGATTATTGCTGATTACAGATGAGAGACCAAATCATGTGCTGCTCTTGAAATTAGTTTGTAAACCTTCACTTAGTTTTAGATTAATTAATTTAGTGTTTATTAAAAAAGTTAAATAGTAATTTTGTGTTTTTTTTTAAATTTTATTTTATTTTGTGAGTTTATATCTTGCAATTGCATGTAATAAACAAGTTTGATAATTTATTTATTTAATTTATTTATTTTAATTTGGTGTGTGGGTTAATTTATATTACTATAGAATATTGACTATAGGATATAAGTAAAGTAGAGACCATAAGCGCACTATAAGTGCAGTACACAGTGTGGAGCTGCTCTCATGTAATGAAATATGTTTCTAGAAGACTGTTTGCTTCATACGCATGGTATAATTGCAAAATGGCTAAACTGTGGTTTGACAAATTACAGTTATAAGTGAAAGTATATGCTTGCATTTTCCACTAAGGACAGGAAAATACAAAGATTCAATAAGCAGCTGTTCTGTAGACTGAATTGCCACTTCTATTCACATACAATCCAAGCAAATACCATAATTGTACAGTTTTGTTTAGTTTGCCATTTCCCCTATTCTTTTTAAAAGGGTTATGATATAAGAAAATAACCGTGTCTTGAGGTCTGCGTTATAAATATTATGAGGTCATTGATGTGGACACTTTAAACAGCTGGTTTGCATTTCTATACAGACTGCAAGACAATATCAGTATCAAGAACAAGTGAATGGTTTATTAACAGTTTCACTGATCATTTTGGAAAATTGCATGCTGAATTTAGAGAATCTGACTGCATTTGATAGTGTTATGGAGAGATCACTGTACAAAAATCATCATTAAGACAATTTAAAGAAGACCTATCATGCAAAAATCCTCTTCATAAGAGGTTTAAACACATTTGTGTGGTAACAGTGTATGAATATAGCCAATTATAACAATAAATTAATTGCATTTGTTGCTTTTTTTATAATCACACTTCATAAAAACTGTCTGCAGATTTCTGTCTGCAATGCATTTTGATGTAACCGTAAAACTGTATCACTTTGACCCGTATTTTTGCATTTCCCAGAAATATAAATGCAAATTAAGAGGGTCCAGGGTCACAAATATGTTTTCAATGTGAAAAATGTTATGTTGCTAGCAGTAAAATAAACTTCAAGGTACATATTAAAAAAATAATATTAAATTAAATAAATAATAATAACCCAGGGTTGCATGGTGCCCCAGTAGTTGGCACTGTCGCCTCACTGCAAGAAGGTCCCTAGTTCGAGTCCCAGCTGGATTAGTTGAAATTTCTGGCAGTTCTGGCACTGACATTTTCTCCCTGTGTTTGTGTGGGTTTCCTCCGGGTGCTTCGGTTTTCCCCACAGTCCAAAGGCATTCTCTATAGGTGAATTGAATAAACTAAATTGTCTGTAGTGTATGTGTGTGAATGAGTGTGTATAGATGTTTCCCAGTACTGGGTTGCAGCTAAAAGGATATCCACTGTGTAAAACATATGCTGGATAAGTTGGCGGTTCATTCCACTGAGGTGACCCCTGATTAATAAAGCGACTAAGCCAAAAAAAATGAAGAAATGAATAATAATCCATGTCATGACTTAAACTTCCTACTTTGAGACTTATTCAAAGCAGCATACTATGTTTTTATTGTCTCTGGTGTCCCTTGATCGTCTCCAGAGCCAACATGTCTTCCCAAGGCTTTCTTCTTTCATCATTTTCCGAGTGGAGAAGTGAGCCATCACTTACCAATGCACCAGCGCGTCCACAGTAAATATAATTCAGTGATAGATTACAGTTGTTTTATACATTCAGTGCTGGCTCATTTACAGTTTCTCAGAGACTCATATGTAAAGATGAAGAAGTGTCAGGCAGAAGGGCCTTTTTTTTTGTAATGTTTTTCATGTATTCTCTCTCACCGGACTCAGCCGAAAGCCCTCACCGCAACTCTTTCCTCTGCATGTACGGATGTGAATTTGAATATGTAAATGCATCAGGGCAGGTGTGTGAGAGCAAGGACAGAATCAGGTCAGTCTGAGCGCCGATCTCGCGTCGAGCCTCAGATGCCCCTCGTATGCAAGTCAAATGGCTTGTAGAGCAAGGCCTCAGGAGGTCAGCATGTCTGACATGTGTCTGAATCTCAAACACCCTCACCACTCGCAAAATAACACCCTAAAGACTGTCTCCTCTGCTCACAAATGGCCTGGAGTCTGGAATTGTTTTGTTTTTTTGTTTTTTGGGGGGCAGAAAATAACACTGGGTATGTTTGGAATGGCTAACTAACATTGTACTCTACATGCATTTTTCATGCAGAGTGTTCATTTCAGACGGTTAAGCAGACGGCTTAACGCATTTGACCAAATATGCTATATGAATTTTGAAATGTGTGACCCTGGACCACAAAACCAGTCTTTTGTTGCACAGGTGATAGCTAAAGATACATTGTGTGTATCAAAATGAATAGTTTTTTCTTCTATTTCAAAAAAGATCATTAAAATATTGAGTAAAATTATGTTTCATGAAGATATATCACAAATGTATCCAAACATTTTTGTTCCTTAGAGAGCTTTAAAAGGCATATATTTTACCCTTTTTCAAGATTTACTATAAGTCTTCTGTGTCTCCAGAATGTTTGTAAAGGTTCAGCTGTAAATACCCATCAGATTACTTATTATACCTTTTTAAATCTGTGAAATTTGAGCTGTTAAGACATTGTAACTGTTTTGTTGCCTGTGCCTTTAATGCAAATGAGCTAGTTCTCCTCACTTACCATTCTCACGTGCCTGTCAGAGCCATAGAGATTTGTCTGTATTATTCTGAACCATGTATCCTTCATGTAACTAAACAGCACAGTGACAAAAAGGTAGCAATTCTCCCTTGCTATACAGTAAAAACTTTCTCAACTGTTATTTGATAAATTTGTTGAGTTAATTCAAGCCTTTCTGCAACGATGAGTCACACACTATGTTGGTTTAAAGTTTGCGCCCGAACGTGACTTTATAGATGCACTTTAAAGAAAATTTTCAAAGTATTTAGTATAGTTTTAAACAAATTCCAGATTCCAAATATTAACATCCAAACAAACCATAAATCAATGGAAAGTTTATTTATTCAGCTTTTAGATCATGTATAATTCTTAATTTAAGAAAAAAACTAATTCTTAAAAAAACTCTCAAGGTTTTGGTTGTCCAGTATTACAGATTTAATCTTTTAGATTTAACATTACTAAAAATGTTTCAAAAGTAATCAAATGAGAGTCATATAATTGATTATTTTTTTATATAAAATGTAACAAATTTTATTTTGTAAATAACTGATTTAACTGCGAAAATGTAAGATATTATACACCAATTTTAAAACAATAATTTATATGTAATGTCATTTCAAAATATTATTTTAAAATGCATATTTTCTTTAATATATGTATTCTTAATATTATTATTATTATTGTTGTTGTTGTTGTTGTTGTTGTCATTATTATAATTATTATTGTTGTTGTTTTTGTCATTATTATTATTATTATTATTATTATTATTATTATTATTATTATTATTATTATTTCAGAAGTATGGCTATTCACCAACTACAATATCTATAATGATAACAATAAAGTTAGTTGTAAAAAATTTATCAAAAGAATATCTATAATGGAAAAGGAAATGCACTTTATAAATGTAAATAATAATGATAGTGTAACATTAATAATAATAATAATAATAATAATAATAATAATAATAATTAACTAATTAATTAATTAATTGCAAGTTTTTGTCCAGTGGATGAATAAAAATAATGACAGGAATCCATCCTGTTTTAAAAAGCTTAAGCATTTAAAGGCAGACACTTTAAATAATTTTCTTTGAACTGCAGTAAGTGTACTGGATGCTGTGCTGCTGTTTAAAAAGTATTCAAGTTCTAATAGAGAAACATGGAAAAATATATTTAACTTTTGGATATGGAGCGGTGCTTATGTTATATTAATTATAGCACTAACACCAATATAAGCCATAAAAGTAGAAGTAATGTTATATATTACCGCTTGTTTTGTCACTGAAGATGAAAGAGATGGTGATAAAATTACTTTAGCACTGAAGAAGCATCGCGCATAATACTTATGACAGCCATCATCATTTAGTGCTTATTGAACACTGTGTAGTATGCATGAAAGTTCAGACCCCGGTGATCCAACATCACTATAAAGCTCATTCAAAGCTTTTAGAGTGAATTAGACAATTGCAGTGGAGCACCCGAGGAAAAAAAAAAACTCTCATAAAGCTCTTGTGCTCACTGTACTGTACATTAAATAGAAAATGAGAAGATTCTGCTTGCTCCTTTATTGGCCAGAATCTTGGCATTTGGAATAAATCACCCAATGATGAAGCATGTCCGTGTTTACTATGTTATTTCTATAAGACACAAAAGAACCTTCTAAACAAAACCTCCAAAACAAAAAATAAACAATTGTATTTCTTGTAGGAGAAATAAACATATTTTGTCAACATGGATAAGTAATTTTTGTGACATCACCTCACGACTTCTGACCAATCAATTGCTCTTTTTATTATTTAATTAAATTTTATTTCACCAAGATAGTCCCATTGAGATACAGAATCTGTTCTTCCAGGGAGTCCTAACCAAAATGGCAGCACATGCAAACATATAAAACTAAAAAAAAAAAAAAAAAAGATCTTAGTTCTCATATGACAAATATATGATGAAGAGACATGTTTTAATAAATCATAACAATGATTAACAGTTTTCTCTTTAGAGTAGATCATAATACTTTTTAACAGCATTACAATACATGTTCTGTAAGTTCTAAAACTTTAAAAATAAATAAAATCTTTATATCTGAAGTACAAAAAATACAGTCAACAGTAGCTTCTAATCAGATGTACTTTAGCTCAGAAAATTTGGTTGGCCAAGATGTGAGGTACGTTAAACAGCATGCTATTTTGTTTTGTTTTTTTGTTTTAAAAGAGGAGCAGCTGTACAGTATATGTCCCAACATGTTTTTAGTCAAAATTGTTACACACTGAACAAAGAAATGCATTGTAATTGCGTTCACACCGATAGTTACAAGATAATCATTTATTTTCAATGGAAACCAGTGGCGAGGAGCAGCTTGACGCGTCTTGCCGGTGTGGGTGTCGAGGAGAGTTGAATTCAAGTCAACTTTATGGTAATGAGCTATGATTCGGGGTAGCGGCAAGCAATCAATTGTTGCTAGATCGGATACGTTTGCAGCTGGAAGTTAGCGAGAATTATTTCTATTATTTACTACATTTCTCATTTATTGTATTTTATTAACCTCTAACCCCACCCCAATCCTAAACCCAACTGTCACAGTACTGTAAAAATATGAATTATTGTTATACAGTGTCATAAAAAAATGCAGCTATATTAATGTGCATATTGCACTTGCGGCCAGCCACATATGCGATCTAGACTTTAGCCAAGCAATCGGAATGTAGAAGTCCACTGCTTGAGAGGAATCCAGAGAACACAGTTACTGTGAACTTTTTTTTCTGACCACAGTTGTTTCCAAGCGTTTGATTCTTACGGTCACAGGATTTCCAAATATTTAGAATGTTTTCTCACAGGAACATCCATTTAAAAAGGTAATGGTGAGTTACTGATGTGCTTTAATGTTTTTATTTTTTAAACCTGGAATCTCATGTGACAATACAAAACTGTTTTGCTGCTTCAGAATATTTCAGACATATGGACACATTGGATAAGTGGAGCAAAGTCTCACCACATGCAACTTGATCTTCCATTGTTAAATGAATTTGATAAAAAGAAATCATGTTTTATGCGGGAATGTGACTCATTTGCTGATATGTGGCAACGGCTTCTTTGAATACGAGATCAATGTAGCAAATTTTGATGCTCTCGCCGCGGGAGTACAAGTCAGACAGCGTTGTCGCCAGGGCGGCCAGAGTGACCTTTGACGCTCTCACTGTCTTCGGTTTGAACCCACAGTAAGGCATTTGAGGTGACATTTAAAGGGTTAGTTCACTAATTCTGTTATTATTTACTCATTGTACATTTATATAAGATATTTTGAAGATTGTAAGAGACTGGAATCCATTGCCTTTCATTGTGTTGTTTTGTCATACTCCTACTATGGAATGTCAGTGGCAGTTTCCAACATTCTTCAGAATATTCTCTTTTATGTTCTACAGAAAAAAGGTTTGAACCATTCGAGGTTGAGTCAATTTCATTTTGGGGTTAACTATACATTTAGGACAGCGTTTGAGCGTGTTTCAAACCTGACAAACTGGATTAAAATCAAAGAGCGATGAGTGTCCTACACACTAAATTATGTTACTAAACACTAAATACCTTTAGGGTGTCACAGTAAGTAGCACAACCGTCTCACAGCAAGAAGGTTGCTGGTTTGAGTCTTGTCAGTTGGCATATCTGTGTGGAGTTTGCATGTTTTCCCCTCAAAAAACTGGAATGTCATCCGCTGCGTAAAACATATGCTGGATAAGTTGGCGGTTCATTCAACTGTGGTGACCCCAGATTAATAAAGGGACTAAGGTAAAAAGAAAATGAATGAATGAACACTAAAATACTTTTATTGTTTTGTTTGTTTTCTTTCAGATGGAGCTTTTGGTTTGCACAAGCTTGGACTGATATGCCTGCCACTTATTCTCACAGTGACTGTTGAGCTGACGTGAATATCCTCGATTGAACCACACACAAACACACTTCCTCTCCAATCAGACACACACACAGACACACACAAGCCTTTCCAGACCGTTACTAAACCTACCTTGCTATCATCTGTGGGACATCCTGAACACCTCCCAACCCCCCAACAGGGAGCGCACCGCCCTTTTTTGTGAACAAAAAAAAAGATCCGCTGATTAAAAAAAATAATAGTAATAATAATAATATGAAAATAACATGCTGAATATGAGAACAAGCACCTCCTTATTGTCAACCCCTTTCAACAGACAGTATTGTTTTGTTTTTTAATCATTAAACTTGCCTGCCAATTAAAGGAGACCTGTTTATTCAGAAAAGCAAACAGTGTTTGGGCATCGAGCTGGACTAAAACGTCGAGCGCTGGGTATTGGAGAACAGACTTTAAGGAACTGTGGCTCGCTGACAATGCAGACTTTCGTTTCAACTCCGACTAGCTATCCTGGAATTCCCTTATACCGCACACTGGCACAACAGGACTCAAATGCGCCCCTTTTTTAAAGAACATGTTTTACGCCATTTGTGTTTTTTGATCACAGTATTTTTTTCCGTTTTTGTTTTCTTGAATGGCTCTCGGCTGGAATGTAACAAAAAAAAAAGAGACAATACTAAACGTCCTGTGACATTTTATCGCAAAGAAATGGAAGATCCTCTTTTTAAGTGTATTTTGTGTACATCCCTGTAAATAATGAGAAGTATATTACAGAGCAGAAAACAAAAAAATAACAATAATAATTAATAGAAGTTTGGGGGGAAAGATGCAAAGGAGGCGGGAGGGTATAGCAGATAATGGCTTTATTGCGTGTCTGGTCATCCCCAACCCAAATCCAACCCAGGCTTTTAGAGAAACGGTGAAATCAGTGGCCTTTCTACTATCTGATTTCATGTGTTCAGTATCTATGATGACCATCCGTGTGACTGTTTTTTTCAACCGCAGAGGAAAGACCGCAGCTTTTCTCCGGGGTTGTTGGTGCATGTGACGTTCGACGATGATTTCCCCTCCTCATCTGTTTGTCACCGACCTGTCCTTAAGTTGTTTTCGTCGCATATTCAGTGACCTGCATCGTGTACAGTCCTTCTCTCTAATCTAACAGTTACTGCTAGGATCATGTTAGCCACCATTACCACCCCTCCATCCCCGAAAGGAAGCTCAAGTGAAGCCAAGTGTAAACAGGGTTGTTGCATTTGTTTCATATCACCTGTATTAAAAAATGGAGATGATCAACTTAACGTGACTGGAGTTTGACTGTCCTTATGATACTATCCAACAACGTGCATGCTTTTGCAATTGTTGCATCATTATATTGTACTGTATGTGAGGTGAGTCGATCAATTTGACTGCTGAATTTTGAATATTCGTTACTGTGGTTTGTTCATATCAGGTTCACACAGAATCTTATGTTTTTCTCAGGGCCTTTCAATAGGTGCATTTATATATATATATATATATATATATATATATATATATTCAAATTTTAGGAACATCAAACAAAAACTTGACTTCTAGTGGATCATTTGGTATCAGAAGTGGCTTATATGAAAGGCAAAGGCCTCTAGATTATGCTTATTTTACCTAAATAAAATATGATTATGTCTTGATTTTATACCTTGACTCAAATAACTTATTATTAAGTCATCTGGAATGGCCAAGAAAGCATTCTTGCAGCACTCCCAGTTCAAGACTCTTTTTACTCGTCTTCAATGCCTCCTTACCCCAGACATTTTCAATAATGTTCATGTCTGGTGACTGCAAATGATGTCTTGGTACATCAGGCAGTTGATGTTGCCATCCACTCTGCAGATTTGTCGCACGCCCCTATACTGTAACCCCAAACCATGATTTTTCCTTCACCATATTTGACTGATTTCAGTGGGAATCTTGGGTCCATGTGGGCTCCAACAGGTCTTCTGCAGTATTGGTGATGATTGGGATGCAGTTCAACAGATGATTCATCAGACACTCTACCTTCTGCCACTTTTCCAAATGGTCAACTAGAAGTCAAGTTATTCTTTTTTGCTCCTACAACTGGGATCAATGACAAGACTTTTGTCAGGTAGTGTATTTATATCAGGAAAGTATAGGCACACTTTATGCACCCCACTTTTTATTATTAATCTTAATGCAGTAACTAATGCCTTCCTTAGCCGGGATTTTAAATATACTTCTATGCAGCTTTGGAGACCATGTTTTCTATAACGGCTGCTGTATATAAACAGTTTATGTCATATTTTGCACTTAAGTATACAGACTGAAAAAATATAGTATTGTTTTATAGTATCGTCACTGTAAATATATGATTTAAATTTTGTCAAAATAACACAACAATATTAGAGCGGTCATAACACATTACATTTTCTTCTCCTCACAAAATGTACTGTTGCTCTGACCATGGCTAAAGAAAAAAAAATAATGTGCTGCAAAAAACCTTTCTTACTAGTTTTTGTTTTGTTTCGAGAACAAATATCTCAAAATAAAGGGAGTTTTTTTTTCTCCTTAAAACAAGCTAAATAATCTGTAAATGGGAGGGTAAGTAAAATAATCTTGTTTTTTCGGTTGATGTAAGATTGTTTTACTTGCCCCATTGTAGATATTTTTTATTTCTGGGTCATGAAACCAAAATCTGCTTGATATTTTGACAAAAGAGGTTATAATACTACACTGAAAAAAAGATTCAAAGATGATTCACTATATTTACTAAATAATTTTTAAGGTACAATTTATATGGGGTGAATTTAAACAAACAAATTAAATTTAGTAATATTTCAGCTTATTTGTTTGCTTACCGTAAAAATCTGTTTTGCAGAAATAATTTTTTCAGTGTATAAACATATTCTGTACATTTTAGAGCTTAAAACTTTGGTGTTACTCTACTCTTTTGCAGTGTAATGCCTGTTAATATGCAAAAATGTTAGCCAATCAGAGCACTGGGCATTTACTTCTATCCACCATGAATCTATTAACTATCCATTCTATCCATTTAGAATCTACTATCCACCATGCCCACTCAAACAAAGTGTCTAATGAGGGGTCAACAACAGTACAGAAAAGATCAAATTCATTATATTTGATGCAGAAATATTCTTTTTTTTATGTAAAATATTGTATGTCAATAAATTAACCTTTTTTTATCTATTTATATATTACTACAACCAAGGTTGACGAAAGTAGGTTGATCCTCAATCAATGAATTGGTTATTATTAATTGATAACATTGGTGGACCTTAGAGAACGGTACAAAATAAATAATACTGAGAAAACTGAAGGCTCTAATGTTGACATTATTTCTGAAAACAGCACAATATATATCTTGCCTACAATAGAAAATCCATCTACTGTAGATTGAAGAATTTTTAGGTATTTGGGCTGGATACTAGACAAAAGCTGTAAGCAAGAACAGCATTTTTTGCATTGTGTAGGCAACCATTTAGAAAAATTGTTGCCTACATTTTCAATGACCCAAGGGTGTGTAAATAAACAGAAATTTTCATTTGTGGATGAACTTAATTTAGGAAAGTCTTTGCTATGGCTAGATGGCAAATGCGCAAACACCAAGTGTAATGTTTGTTTTGTAAATCAAACTCTATATAACCCAAACCATAGATCATGTAGATGCCACATTTAAGTGCTCCAGACTTGTTAACATGGGCACTATCTTGAAACAATCACCATGCTATAGCTCACAGTGAAAACACAAGGACGGCTAATGGGACATCTATGTTTAGGTGCCTGTGGTCCGTGTTTTATTTTAAAATGGAGGCAAATCAGATCTACTGTATGGTATGAGGATTTTCCAACAGAGCACCGAATGGAGTTACAGAACTAATCCTTTTTGAAACCCTATGAAGTTTTGGGATTTTATTTTGTAAGCATCAATGTTGTCTATAAGCTAGTATGTTCCAAAACATTGTCAAAATTCACATATGCATTCCACATTTACAAAATGATAAGTGTAGATGCAAAAACTTCCAAATGCCGCTTGATATTTTCTTCTAAAATTAGCATTCTTCTCGGACTCTTGTGTGTAGGCTCAAAAATGTAACTTTTATAGTGACAGATAAGTTCTTTCCATTGTCTTTAAAATGAAATAACTGAACATAAACATAGGAGGCTGAGAAAAAAATGCTCATTTTAGGAGAAAATTTCAGATGATATTTAGAGGATTTTGCATCTGAACTCTTCATATCTCCTGACTGCCAATATGGAGCAGTGATTTTGATTGCATCGTTTTGCACTTCAGCTTCTTATCAAAAGTTCTGTTTGATCAAATGCTCTAGTATCTAAAGCGTTGCAGCTGAAATCAGTCACTTGTTCGCACAATAACTATTTCCTATATAGTGAATGGCACAGGAGAAAAAGGGAATGAAAAATATGCTTTCAATTGTGACTCTAGCTGACTTTATCATCTCACACTGTGCATCCTTCACTCCTATTCTGTTATCTACCTTTTTAACACAGAGGAGAACGCTTTTATATAACATGCAGTGCTAAATAATGCCTTTATAAACTAAAAACCTTTTCCTACCTACAGAATTGGTTTATAGGATGGAAGTCATTAAACAATATTTCAGCTATGAATGCAGCTTAGCCCATGATGGTCTTGTTTAGGTTTGTCCTCTGCCACTCAGGCTCACCCTGGATGCCCTCATGCAAAGTAATCTCTTTTCTTTTTTAACATTCACATGAATTGCAGTTTAAGCTTTTCATGTATTAAAGGATTAGGTCTAAAGCCTAGGTGGGAGAGGTGGTTTTTATGGGCTTAATAAAATCTGGAAGATAGGCCCCTTGCCATTTCAGCTCTCACTTCCAACACTCAAAGAAAAAAATATATATAAACACACTACGTTAAGAACTTTTTGCTATATTGATTATGGCAGGCGCTCTTTGTACACAAACTTGAAGTAAAATATTAAATGTTCAGATTCAGCTGCTTTTCATGTGCATTTAATGATCTTTAGAAGTCTTATGGTACAACAAACAATTAATGCTATTATAATGTGTATCGACTCATTCTTATAGTCTTTTCAAAAAAATGTTACATTAAAACTTGCATTATATTGACTACAAGTTGACTACAAATTCACTACAAGTTAAATTGCTCTTTAAACAACTTTCTCAAACAATGCTGTTTTAAACTTCAGTCTTAATGTGATTAATAATAAAGTGTGTGTGTGCAGATTTTACCAGTAATAAGTCACCATAAGTGTAGAAAGAAAGCTCATTATATACGTGCAGAAATAGCCTGTTATCTTATCAGAATGCAATAGTAGTGATTTATTTCGTTTGGATCCTCTCTGAAAATTAAACCACCAGGAATCCATTACAGAGGTCTCAGCATAATCTATTGTATCTTTTGTAACTCATATGTTTAGGTTGCTTTATTTGTGCTGTACCATAAACCAATGCCAACCATGGCTAAAGCTCATCTGAATTATTTAGTATGGCTTTAACTTGTTACATTGACACCTACTATAAGATTCAGTCTATTATAAATTTGTCCGCACTATGTTGCCAAATCTATTGTTTCTGCATCCAAAACTCCTCATTTGACACATGATATGTGGAGCAGAGGGGCAGTAGACATTCATGACTCTTCTGTCAATTATTCAGGAGTAAGCTTGCAGGTTCAGGTTTCCTTACTGCAGCTAAGACAGGCTATCACATAGCAAAACAATGTCTGTGTCCTAAAAGGACAGCATTCAGTCTAGCAAAGTGTTTATGGCCCTTCTGATAATTTCACTGATGGCAATTCGACCATATTTAAGGTGTTAGAAGTGATCTTGCTTTTCACACAGTTCTCTTTTGAAGCTATGCAAATAATGCTTTTGGCAAATGCAAAGCAACCTAATGTCATCTTTTAAAGCCTTGCTAATCAACAACACTGTGTTCATGGGAAAGAACTTTGATCCTCAGCATTTACTGTGCAAACAGTAGCATCCTGTTCATACATTCATATTTGTGTAATTGATGTAGTATATCAGCAAACACCACCTCTTAAGTAAATATACTTTCTTCATTCTCACCGATTATATTTGCAATAGTCAAGCTATTTTCATAGTTAAATAGACATATCATAATTTAAAACAAGATAATCTGGTAGACAATGCACAATTTGCATGTCTTATCTATTATGGACTGTGCTTTCTTTACACTGGAAGAAGCCAGCTTCATATATAATAAAATATAAGCTATTTTCATAATTAAAATAAATTCTGAGATCTCTGAGGAGGGTTACATAAGCATTCAAAGCCACTGTGTTGTGTTTTCTTAGTGATCACCTGCACCAGGTGGAATGATACCTGTCCCCGCCCTCAGAGAACACAGGATGCAAATGCTGTTGTTGTACATATCAGGTTTTAGTCACCCTGTGGGAGGAGAGGCAGCTGACAGTGTGCTTCTACTTGCAGATACTAAAAGACAAGCCCACACTGGCTGAGATACTCAAGGGAAGAGGCTCCAAATAAAATCCAATGTCCAGCAGATGACCATAGATTTCACTACAGAGATGCCAATTGCGGAATTGCTTGGAGTGCACTTTGACATGCAGCTCCTGGGTAAACTGACCTTGTCTGTGGCCACCATGCTGTTTGTTTCCTTGGTTTTCAGATTCTACAACTCCAGGGCACGAAACAGAAGGCAAGAAAGGATTCAACGGGGTGCACAAGCAACCCAAGGAAGCAACGGTGCCTACAACAGAGAGCAAAAACAACAGAGCGAAGATGCAAAGGAGGAAAATTATATTCAACAATCTTCAGAAAAACTCTTGGAGGAAAGTGTTAAAAATGCTAGTGCTGCATTGGAAGGGGGTCAACCGGAAACTATGGACATGGACACTTGTCCAAACGGGGAAACTACAGGTAAAATCAACACAGTTGATAATATACACGAGCCAACAAAAAACAAACCAAGACTGACCTTACAGCTTCCTGATGTGACTGAAAAAGGACCCGGTAGTCCAAGTGGTCGGCGATCGCCATGCCTGGTAAAGAAGCTAACAGGTGGTACAGGTGTTGGCAGGGAGTTAAGACAAGATGTTGGTCACCAAGGCATGTACTCAAGTTTTCAATCAAAAGCAGAAATCAAAGTAGAGAATGCTGACCTTATCCTGGATGGGTCAAGAGATGGTAGAACAGGTGTTCACGGGAAGATCTATGAGTACTATGTGGAGTCATCTTCTCATTTCATCTCAGATTTAAGCCCCACCCGCTCTGTCAATCCAGCCTATGGTCAAAACGAAAGCACTTCGTTTAAATCCCAATCACTGGATTTATCTCATTTCAAGGAACGCTCCCGATCACCAAGTCCACAGCCTTCTAGATTCTTAATGAGAGACCTTAACATTACTCCGCGATTTACTAATGAGCCTCCCTCAACGTTCAAGCCAGAGACAGTGAGATACAGCAGGCATGTAGTCATCCGTCAGGACAGCTATCTTACTGCTGCTATTGACTCTGAGCTTCCAATCCCCTTGCCCACACAAAGGACTTTAACTCCTCGCAGCTTTTCTCCAGCTCGACCCAGTGACACCCCTTCAAGCCCATTAGAGTCTGACATAGCAAACCTTGATGACCCTGAGGAACCACAAGTGGAGACTCTAGCCGGAGCAAAATTCATACATTTTCCAGAGAACGTGGGGAACGCAGAACTCGAGAGTCTAACAGGGAAGCTGGATTTAGGCAACTGCTTGGAGGCTTTAACACTTGCTAAAAAACATGGCCACACCGCCCTTCAGCAAGCTGCTCTCCGTGTCATGTCTGATAATTACCTCCAGGTCTTTAGAGACCCAGGCCTCTTTGGCAGGCTGAAAGCAGGGGAGCGTGATCACATCCAAACACAACGCATGAGAGGAAGGAAGTGGTTAGTGGTCGCAGATATGGAGTCCCCAGACTGGAGTAGACGTCTGTCACAGTCTACAGATTTGGAGTCTGAATCAGTTAAGACATCTAACGGAATGTATTACTATGATGATTATAAGGACACATGGCACCTGCATTCCCACATTCCCCAGGAAGTGTTATCTAAAGGTTGTGCCATGTGCACCATGGATAATTATCTATTTATCGCTGTGGGTTTCCAAGGCCAGGACCGTGAAGCAACCCCTTCAAAGAAAGTTTACTGTTACAACCCAGTGACTTCAATTTGGAGTGAAATAAGCCCCATGAATGAGGCAAGGCCTCACTGCAAACTTGTAGCTCTGCAAGGCCATCTTTATGCCATTGGAGGGGAATGCTTATCAACAGTTGAGCGATATGACCCCAGGACTAACCGATGGACTTTTGTGGCACCTCTTCCTAATGAAACATTTGCCGTAGCTCATCGTGCCACAGCTTGCAATGGTGAACTGTTTGTTGCAGGGGGCACATTAAGATACACCCTCTTGCGCTACAATCCCAAAACTAACACATGGCGAGAGAGCATGATTGTCGGCAGCAGGGACAAGACTGCAGAACTGTTAGCAGTGAAGAACTTCTTATACCGTTTTGACGTCAATCCCCTTGGCATCAGCGTGTATCGCTTCCATGCAGTGGCAAGACTTTGGTATGAATGCTCCACAATACGCCTCCCCTATTGCACTGCCTTTCAATGTGTGCCTATGGACAATATTATCTACTGCGTGAGCCGTCAATTTACCTTGAGGTTCCTTGCAGATGAGGTATCTCCAAGCTTTGTTGCACAGGATTTGAAAGTACTATCCCCGGTTAAAGGCATTTTGTTTCCGTTCGTCCTTGTGCTGCCCGAAAGGACCACTCAACAAACTTGTGTTTAAGTAAGGTCAAGGTTTTCTGGTTAGAACAAAAACACTCAGGAACACATTATGCACATGTTAAAGGAATGTACCTTTTCTTAATTAGTGGCAATCGAGATGAAATATCAAGGCCATTACATCCAATTATTTTAAAGCTAGTACACAATTACACAGCACTTACTGATAAATAAATCTGTTGTCGCAGTGAAGGCTATTTATTTGTTTGGACCTTTCAACCACTCAGATGTCTAAATCAGACGTTAAATCCTGGAAATGTCTTGCGCAAGTGCTTAAAATGTTTCAGTAAATATACAGCTTTTGAAACACTGTGTGGATAATGTTAACCAATCAATAGTGTGTGTAGAATAAAGCCGAATTGTAATTGCAGAGCTGGCATCATAAACAACATGAATGGCTGCCATTACCACAATTTATGTAAGCTGGCTAATTATATTCATAGCTTCTTTCTTTCATAATCTTTATTATTATTATTTTGCATATCACATGTAATTAATCTACCAGCGTTTTAAAATATGTATTACATGTCATTTAAATATTTAAATATATTTGTATGCATTTTTCATGACACCAAGTCTTGACACCGGGATGGGATTTTATTTAATGCATGATGTCTAATTTTATGTTAAATCTTTGAACTCTTTTCAAAGAACTTCTTTTACATCACTGAATCACTTTGGGGAGTCCAGAGGCAAAAGTTTATCTTCTCCTTGTATATACCATTCCACATTATAGAAAGAACTAATGACTTAATGGGATGCTTTGCCTCTCCGTGCACATTTCTGTCTCTATCTTCTGAAGAGCTGGGAATAAAAATTCTCTCATCTATTATAAGTGAGTCTTGGTTCTTGTGTTAGACTTCAATAAATAATGAGTTCTGACAAAATGTGAGTTGCAGCAAGAGACGTTCGTGTGACCAGGATCTTAATTAAATTTAAACGCAATTACGCTGTCAAAACCAAAGCAATCACATAATCAATTTATGTTAATGAAAGTATACAATACAATCACCGTGACAATCGCGTATGCATATGTGATCAAAGAAAGCAGGCGTGCAGAGGAGAGTGTGCTGTGATGCAATTCCCAGTGACGTATCCTTGCTCTGTGTAACTCTAGCACCATCATGTGGTGGGAGATGATATCAAGGTCTGAAAATGGAATCCGTACACGGCTAATATGCTGCACTGAATGACGGTGACAAATGCAAAAAGACACATAGCCGGAGCGTTCCAAAGGCTAGCAGAAGAACGCAGTGGGATAAAAACCAACACAGCAGGAGAAGTGTGAACACAGATGGTTGGACGTCAAATATAGCGTCCGTTTGCTTGTAATTAAACACTTGGATTCAACATAATTAAACACTTAATGGGATGGGAGTTAGGAAAGTCCCCTTGGAATCTGTCTATGAATGACTCGGCTATCTAAACTAGCTCTGTGGTCTGACTGAACTGTTGATTCTGCTTGCAGCGCTATTTTAGTGCGTTAATGAAGGACGTCATTAGTAAGAGATTTTGCTGGTCATCTTTTGGTTACAGGCACATTAAATTGCACTAGAGTGTGCTTAAAAATAGACCTACATGGAGCAAACAAATAAAAAGGAAAGTCTGTCAGATGGAAATATAAAAAACAACAACAACATAGCTTTTAAATATTGATAGACCATTATTTTTGCAGCTGGGTTCAAAAGTTTGAGACCTTGTAAACAGGTGTGTGTGTGTGTGTGTGTGTGTGTGTGTGTGTGTGTGTGTGTGTGTGTGTGTGTGTGTGTGTGTGTGTGTAAAAGAGAGGCTATTTTTTGGATCACTGTCAAATCATGCTGAAGAACACGATATTTCATAAACTTGTGGAGTCCATGCAAATGTCAAGGACAAAATGCGACAAGCTCAATAAGAAATGTACTTTTGTAACCAAAAACTTGCATTTTAGAAGTGCTTTGCATACAGGACAACACTGTCAGAACAGTCCCATTCACATGGATTTCTAAAAAAAAACTAAATGCTGCATTATGCATGCCAGGCCATTAGAGGGTGATGTCACTTTGAAAAAAAAATAAAAATTACGATCTTGCTCACTTTTACTCCTGTAATACATTGTCAGTTTGGATTTCAAGTACTTACAAAAGTCTGTAGGATGTAATATGCATGCACATGTCATTGTGCTTTCACAAAATGTCTTTTTGAAGTTTACGCAGAGATGACAGTGATGTGCTTGGAAAACATATGTTGGCATAAAATGGATATTGTAATACTCTTTTCTATTGTAATATAAATGAAATGCCATCTCAGACATTAAAAAAAAATGTGCAGGACTTGATTTTCTCCAAGTTATTGAATGAATCATTGCATCACTGTGAATTGCTATTGGTTGATCTAAGGTTGCTATTGGTTGATCTAAGGTTGTCTCACCTTCACACTAGTAAACAACAGAGAAGAGAAAGGTTGTCTTTTTTTAGGGTACATTTAAAAATGTACAAAAATAAATAGTTTTTAAAATACAGAGGCCAAGAGAGTGATAACGTGCTGCAATTTAAGAAAACATGCAATTACAAAAAACATCAGCAAATTAAGATTTGATAGCACACATGCTCATCCTCACACAATATTTTCACACAATGTGAACAAATTATTAAAACGTGCTGCATTTTCTCACAACACTTGCAAAAACATCAAAACGTGACGGATGCCACTGTGCTGTGACGATTGCTCAGTTGTAAGTTGCTAAGTTGTAGGTGATCTTGGTGAGTTTTTTGTTTTATTGTTTTAACATCCTGATTCCCTTGTCTTTTGTATTTTATTAGCCTTAATAACCATAACCTTGAGACATTTCTGTTGTACTATTAGAAAAAGTTGTGAGAAAATGCAGCACGTTTTCATAAATTGTTTGCATTGTGGGAAAATGCAGCATGTTTTTATAAATTGTTTGCATTGTGAGAGAATGCAGAGCATTTTATTAATTATTTTTTTAATTTGTGTGTTTTTTGTTTTTGTTTTTGCTTTTTTGTAATTGCACGTTTTCATAAATTGCAGCATGTTAAGCTCTCTTGGCCACCATATAAGCATGGCAAATAAAGTGCAGTTTTAAAAAAAAAAGAAAGGAAAAAAATATGAATTGTCAGTTTAACTTTTATATTTATAATTCACTATTTTATGGATAGTATTTTTATGGATAGTTAAAAGTCCCATCTTTCATCTCTCTTCAAAAAATAAAAAGAAATCAAGATAGCCAATATGTTTTAAAGAGCAAAATGCAATAATATTTCCAATTCGATTAACTTGCAGTTAGTGAAGGGGGGACCTTCATCATCTTGCATCTCTAAGAAGTAGAAATCAGATTGGATGCAAAATAAAATCAGGATTACAGTATGAATTAACATTACTAGGTATGTCGAAGAAAAGAACAACTTACTGAAGTATCGCATCCCAATTATCACTGAATCAGTGATTCAAAAGAAAAGAAAAAAAAAAACAGCGTGTCATGGAACTTACCTCAGGAAAGCCATTAAAACAACAGTTCAAAAAAAATCTGCCATCATTTAAACATGCCTAACTTTTTCTTCTGTCAAACACAAAGTAAAAATGTTTAACAACAAACAGCCATTGACATGCATAGTATTTTTTATTTTCTTATTTATTTAACAAATATGGTTATGAATGTCACACTAAATATTATATAATGCACATTTTAAATATTTATATAGCAACAACAAACTGGAAAATAATATAACAATCAACATATTGATTTAACTTTAGTTTTAATTATGTTGATCCTATCTCTAATATAATTTAAAACTTACATACATTGGGCAGCACGGTGAGTAGTATGATCGCCTCACAGCAAGAAGGTTGCTGGTTCAAGCCCCGACTGGATCAGTTGGCATTTTTGTGTGGTGAAATGTATGAATGATCATTTTGCTTATTGCATGTTCTCCCAGTGTTGGCGTAAGTTTCCTCATGGGTGCTCCGGTTTCCCCCACAAGTCCAAAGACACGCTATAGGTGATCTGGGTAAGCTAAATTGTCAGAAGTGTATGTGTGTAAATGCTGGAGTGTATGGTTGTTTCACAGTGGAAGGGATAAAGGGAATAAGCTGAAAATAAAATGATTGAATGAACTTTCATACATTTACAAACATTAAATGCTAAACATCTAAAGCACTGTCATCAAACAGTTAAATCCTACCACAGTACAGTACAGTACAGTATGTCTTTTTTATTGTCTATCCTCAAACACATCAAAATGCTCCCATTTTTAAGTGCCATATTGATCAATAAAGCAAGAAATTGAAGCCCTCTCTCCAGACTGAGACTAGGGTGGCACTGCAGGGTTGAAGGCGCTGAGACAAAGGCTAAGGGTCACAGCGGGCTGGCTGGATTACTGGAGACCTGCCTGCAGGGTCTGGGTTTCAGTGCCAACTCCTGCCTGCTGTGGTTGGCAGGGTGCTGACTGCTGGAGAAGCGCTTGGGCATGCTGACGTGGCGGGAATGACAGAAGGAGCTGATGGGGTGCAGAGGGTACGAAGCCTTATACAAGCTTAATGTAGGCACAACTGCCCGCTGTTGTTCCACACGAGTGCGCCAACACTCAGCCAAGCCAAACTTAGTAGGGGGGCCTGTGTGTGGAAGAAACAAGAGATGAAAAGTAAGAGAGACATTACAAAGAGGAAAATGTTCAAACAGGATACAAGTAAAGCTTCTGTGTCACTATGCTGCCACCAAACAGAAGCAGTAATGTCTCCACAAAAAACAATGTTTAAAAGGGCAAAGCACAGCGGGAAGATTTCTGGTGATTAAAATAAAATGTGAATATGGAATCACCAAAAGTTTTATATTTATTTCGTTTTTATGTTGTTTTCACTTACTATTTTGGTTTATTTCAGTTTTAGTTCAACTTTGTATTCTAGATTTTTCTATTATTATATCGTTTATTGATGTACATAAATAGTTAGACTGATATGACTAAAAATAAAATAGTACTGAATGATTAGTGTAAAATACAGTAAATAAAATGACAATAAAAATAGTTTAATATAAGAATAAACTAATTTACCATAACAGAGAATTACTGAAATATCACTAAAATAAGACTATATTATGAATAATTATGTGGATTATTTATCAGTCCCATTTTGAGCGAATGGTTCTTGAGATAAAGAAAATAATGTTTTAATAGATTTTTGTGTGTTTTCATGACAGAACACAGAAATTTGTTAATTTTCCAATAATTTTGAAGAAGAAAACATAACAAAATGTCTTACTTTAGGTTGTAAATATATCCCTGCACAATCCTGGATGGATTGATTGTTGCTAAACAAATGTGTTAATAAACGTATTAATTAAAATGAGAAACGACACAGTTCTTAAGTCTCTTTTGGGACAACTTAACTATTTTACGTTCAATCCACTTACATTTGTAAAAGTAAACTTAATCAACTTGTGTTAGGACAGCATTACGGATTTCTGGGGAATCCAGTATTTATTTTTACAGTGTATATTTTGTTTTGTTATCATTTATTAATTTTTTTTTTCGACTTAGTGCCTTTATTAATCAGGGGTCGCCACAGCAGAATGAACCACCAACTTATCCAGCATATGTTTTACAGAGCGGATGGTCTTCCAGCTGCAACCCAACTCTGGGAAACACCTATACACACTCATTCAAACACATACACTGCGGACAATTTAGCTTACCCAATTCACCTGTACCGCGTGTCTTTGGACTGGGGGAAACCGGAGCACCCGTAGGAAACCCACGGCAACACTGGGAGAACATGCAAATTCCACACAGAAACGCCAACTGGCTCAGCTAGAGCTCAAACCAGCGACCTTCTTGCTGTGAGCCTCATTCAGGCTACTGTTTAATTATGAAATTTAAATACTGCATTTTAGTGACATTTTAAACACTGTTTTAGCTGAAATAGACTGTCAGATGGTCATCATAACCAAAAAAAGTACATTTGAAAATTCATTTACTTTTGGTGCTTCACACCTTTTCATTGGTCATTTTTTTGTTTCAGGAATAAGTTCGAGATTTAGAATAAAAGTTACTTGTAAAATATTTTCTCTATTAAAAAAACAGTACAGATACAGATACAAATATGCCAGATTGTATGTTTTGCTGCACAGCTGGATGTTGAACTCATGAAAACTAATTGTGTGCACTAACAAAACCTGATTAGCTGAAGTCACACCCAAGCGACAGCCTAACAGAGGATTCCACTTGGTCTTAAAACTCATGTATGGGACAAATTCTGCAGCTTTGTCGGTGAGGTGTGGGTCTTTCAAACCACTCGAACCCCTTGTAATTAACTTAAAATAGTGTGTTGTTAATCACTGCAACTGAGTGAAGTCAGCAACTTAAACTATTACCAGTTCAATTCATTAGTGACTCATTCAGAACAATTTGTGAACTAAATCAGTTGATTCATTGTAAAGTTCAGACTCAAAAGTACATGTTCAATCAATCGATCATCACCTTTTCTGTAATAAACTTGCATAGTTTGGAGTGAACCACCTTGAAATTTCAATCTTTCCTCACACAAAGCCACTGCATGGATCATAAGAATTCACTTTGATGTGAATTTAGTGCAATTTCATCTTTCATAAAGCTTGAAAGGCTCAGTAGCTGAGCTATTGAACACTATACTTCTCACACAAAAGAAAAGAGAGTTCGTACAAGTTCACTGGAACAACATGAGAGCATGTAAATGATGACTGCATTTTCATTTTTCATCTAACCATCATGTAAATCACCCTCTGGCAAATAACACACACCGGCTTCTCGTGCGCATTTGCAAAAGTTGTCTGATGAAGAATAATTAAAAAGCATTGGAATCGAAATTAAAGCCAGTGTGTTGTAACAAAACTGATATCCATAATGATTAACAAGGGATATTCTCCAACATTATTCAAAGCACAGACCGGACTGCATTAAAAGCCATCTGGAGTGAAAGGAATGCTTAATACCTTGGACTGGGTGGTCTGACCTCTCTGGGACCCAGGCCAGTTTGTCATGGTGCCAGGAGCGCAGTGTGGGCAGAGAGGAGGAGGTCTGACGCCCGTAAGACTCATCATACAGGGACACCAGGTAGTGGGAGGACGGGACATCATGATGAGAAAGTAACTGCCTTGAGGGAACGCCCTAAAGTATGGATTAAACACATACACACCATTTATCAGAGCAGTGAAAGGCAGAACAGATCTGTTATAAGGGACAGGTATAAAAATTGCATGTTGGTTATTGAAGATAAAACACATAAAATCGCAAATGTGTCTGTTATTTTGTCATAATGAATGATCAACTTTATATCTCAGAAGTCAATAATTAAAGGGATAGTTCAACTAAAAATTAAAATTCTGAAACCATTGACTTTCAAAGTAATTGTTTTTTCCTACCATGGAATTTAATGGTTACAGGTTTTCAGCTTCCTTCAAAATATCTTTTGTGTTAAACAGATATGAAATATATATATTTTTTTGTAAATTCTGGTAAAATACAGACTTAGAACTACTGTTAGAATTACACAATGTCAAGAGATAATTTCAATATTGAGAAAATTCTATGTACTTAAAATTGTGAGACTAATTGTGCAGAAACAGTGAGAATTGGAGGTTTACAATACCGGTCAAAAGTATGTTGTTGATGTTTTTAAGAAAATGATTATGTTCATCAAAGCGGCATTTATCAAATGTTAAAAAAAAAAAAAGTAAAATTGTTAAATATTTACAGTTTTAAATATCTGCTTTCTTATTGTATGTAGTTTTAATGATTTTATTGTATTTCTGAAGGATCATGTGACTGAAGACTAGAGTAATAAAGCTGAAAATTCATCTTTAAAATCCCTGGAATAAATTATTAAATTAAACTAAAAAAATACTTTTAAACAGTTATTTTATAGTGCAACAACATGTCACAATTTTATCATTTGTACTGTATCTTTCTTTAAATAAATGCCGCCTTGGTTAGCATGATAGGCTTATTTTAAAGCATTTAAAAATCCCAACTGACCCCAAACTTTTGACTGGTAGTGTATATCTTAAATATCTAAGACCTTTTAAATTCATTCTAAAAAAAAAATATTTTTCTTTTTTTATTTAAATTATCATATTTAAAATTGTTACAATATATGTAAGCAAAAAAAAAAAAAATCAATTATTATCACAATAGCAATTTAATTACCTGAATTACTTAAGAATTACAGCCCCAAATCAGAAAATCTTGGGACATTATGGAAAATGCAAATAAAAAAAGAAAGAAATTATTTCTAAATTTATTTTGACTTGTATTTCATTGCAGACAATCAAACAAACATTATTTATTATGTTCCTTGTATTTTTTTTAATAAACACATATTCCAATTTCGGTTCTTGCAACACATTTCAAAGAAAGTTAGAACAGCATAGCACCACTTTGTAATGTTGCAATTCCTTGCTTCCAGACGGCACTTCTGGACACTGTTAACATAGGGCTTCCTTTTGGCACAGTACAGTTTTAACTGACATTTGTGGATGTAGTTATGTATTGTGGTACTTGACAAAAGTTTGGCAATGTAGTCCTGACCCCATGTGGTGATATTGATTATAAATGAATGCCGATTCTTGATGCAGTGCCGTCTGAAGGATCAGAGATCGCGGTGGTTCTGCTTGTTTGTGCTTGTCCTTTACACACCGAAATTCCTCCAGATTCCTTAAATCTTTTAATTATGTTATGCACTGTTGAAGGTGAAATATTCAAATGTCTTCCTATCTTACTTTGAGGAACATTGTTTTTTTAAATAATTTTCTCAGGTATTTGTTGACAAACTGGCCATCCTCAGCCCATCTTTGCTCCCACAGGACTAGACTTTTTTTGGATGCTGCTTTACCATATCATAATTATAATCACCTGTTGACATCACCTGTTTCAAATCACATCATTATTTAACCAATTTACCTGATTGATAGTCCTAAACTGCTCCTGTGCCAACTTTTTTGGAATCTGTTGAGGGTCTAAATGACAGGAAAAGATCTATATTTACAAATCAAATAAAGTTGACCAGACAAAACATGAAATATTTTGTGTTCATATTGTCTGCAATGAAATACAGGTCAAAGTAAATTTGTTTCATTTGCATTTTCCATACTGTCCCAACTTTTTCTGATTTGGGGTTGTAAATTCTGATTTGAAAAAAGTCAGAAAAGGTCTTAAGTGTTAAATTATGAGAAATAAACCTGCAGCTGAGAGTGACAAGTCTGAATTGTGAGATAAACAGTCATTTCCTTCTTCATATTTGATTCTAAAGCTTCCTTAGAAATCTGCATCTGCACGAAAAGAATCGCTCAATCAAATTAAGCTGGACCACCACTGTTTTTTGCAATGCAGTTTAGTGGCATGTTGAGTTTAATGACATGTTTCTCTTCTATATATGCCTGCTGCCTGTCATCAAAACCGAACATGATTTGCTCGCTGGTGTGTTTGTGATGTTTAGTAAATGATGCATGAACTGATGGATTTGTCCCAAACCTCTGATCTGCGAAGAGCCTTTCGCCGCATGACAACATCAGGCCTGTGCAACATGTGCGGTATGTAGTCCAGCCTGTTGGAGCTGTTTGCTGTCTTACACTCTCGAGCGAACTGTCTCACCACACACACACACACACACACACATAAGAAACACAAAAAACTCTCAGCAAACAAATCCCACGCTCAGCAGAGCTTGCGGTCCCCTATTGATCGCAGATGTACTCTCTCAGGTCTGTTCCTGACTTGGGAACTGCAGCATGTCTTGCATCAATCCCATTTGTCTGCCTTTAGTCTGTGCTGACCAAGCTGATCAGCAGTGCTAATCGCTTTTGCATAGATCTGAGCCCTCTCTGAACAACTGAAGCCCTTTCAGGCTTTAAACATTGCACACTGACAACTGCTTAAGTAGTGTGTTAACTACTCCAAACAAGAGTGATTAGTACTTGACTCAAATTAATAGTTCCCAATTTTTGTTTGAAATGAAAAACAATTTTTTAAATGAAATACAGATTAATGGGTGGCCTGCTGCCTAAGTGGGTTTCCTCCAGGTGCTTAGTTTCCCCCACAGTCCAAAGACATGCGCTATAGGTGAATTGGATAAACTAAACTGGGTGTACTGTATGTGTGTTTGTAAATGAGAGAGTGTATGTGTGTTTCCCAGCACCAGGGATTCATGAGTTAGTGTACTCTTAGTGGTGGGTTGTGGCTGGAAGGGCATCCGCTGTATAAAAAAAAAAATAAATAAAAAAATAAAAAAACATATACCAGAGTAATTGGTGGTTCCTTTCTGCTGTGGTGACCCTTGATAAACAGGGACTAAGCCAAAGTAAAGAGTGGGTGAATATTCATTCATTCATTTTCTTTTCGACTTAGTCCCTTTATTTATCATGGGTTGCTACAGGGGAATGAACCACCAACTTATCCAGCATATGTTTTATGCAGCGGATGCCCTTCCAGCTGTAACACATCACTGGGAAGTGAATGAGAAATAATCAGCAGTTTTGAATTCAGTGACGTTTGATTTGAATGGCTTAGATAACCCAAATGTACAGTATTTATTTTTTTATTTTTTGGACTTGGTCCTTTTTATTACATATTCACTAAACTATTTGCATGCATAATGAAAAATTGGTGATGTATGTGGCAAACAGAGATTGAGGGTTGATCTTTGATATGCTTTGGATTACTAAAATGGTTTGTGAAGCTTTAAAAACTTGATAAATCATTTGTTTTGATGAGTGAATGAGTTAAAAGCAAATTTCACCCTGGATCATAAAACCACTCCTATGTTGGGGGAAATGGCCAAAAATATGTCAAAATTATATATATATATATATATATATATATATATATATATATATATATATATATATATATATATATATATATATATATATATATATATATCTATATCAGTTGGCATTTCTGTGTGGAATTTGCATGTTCTCCCCGTGTTCATGTGGGTTTTAGGTGCTCCAGTTTCCCCTACAAGTCCAAAGATATGTGCTATTGGTGAATGGGGTAGGCTAAAATTCTGAAAGGTCTGAATGACAGGATAAGATGTATATTTCAATTCAAATCAAATGTCTTCCTATCTTTTTTTTCAGTGTGTTTCCCAGTTTCCCCAGCTGGAAGGGCAGCCACTGCGTAACCCAGTGTCACTTAGAGAATAGATTAACGCGATATTTTTTTTATCGCGCAAAAAGAGTCCCACGTTAACACAGCACATTAAAGCTGATAATGGCCCACCACTAATAGATTTCTGTAATTTTATTTTATGACAAAAATCATTCGAATATTAAGTAAAGATCTTGTTCCATAAAGACATTTTGAATTTTCGTTCTGTAAATCTAGCATAACTTAATATCGATTAGTAGTATGCATTGCTAAGAATGGAATTTAGACAATATTAATGTGATTTTCACCTTGAACCCTCAGATGTTCAAATCTTAGCCAAATATTACCATATCTTAACATAGCAAAAGCTTATTTATTCAGCTTTCACATTAATCTCAGTTTCCAAATATTGTCACATTACTGTTTTTGTGAGCCAGACTCACATTATCAAACTGCATAAATCAGAAATTTTTACACAAGCAGAGGATAAATATGACAGAAATAGATAAATGTGTACAAAATGAAGAAAATAAATGCTTGTTACTAAATATTCTTTATTTGTATAAACAAGCCATTCTGAGTATTTTAATAAGAATAAAGTATATTATTAATGAAAATTTAATTAAACTATACCAGGGGCGTCCAAACTCAGTCCTAGAGGGCCGGTGTCCTGCTGAGTTTAGCTTCAATTTGCTTCAACACACCTGCCAAGACGTATATCTTATAAGAGCTTGATTGGCTGTTTCAGGTGTGTTTGATTTGGTTTGGAGCTAAACTCTTCAGGACACCGGCTTCAGGACCGTGTTTGGCAGCCACTGATCTAGACTTCATCTCAATTACATTAACTTTTTTTTTCCTTCAGCTTAGTCCCTTTATTCATTAGGGGTTGCTACAGTGGAATGAACCAGCAACTTATCCAGCATATATTTTACACAGCAGATTCCTTCTTGCTGCAACCCAGTACTGGAAAACATCCATACACACTCATTCACACTCATACATTACGGCCAATTTAGTTCATCCAATTCACCTTTACCACATGTCGTTGGACTGTGGAGGAAACCCATGCCAACATGCAAACTCCACACAGAAATGCCATCTGACCCAGCCAGGACTCGAACCAGCTTGCTGAGAGGTGACAGTGCTAACCCATGAGCTAACCACAATAGCACATAAATTAAACAACGATTTTTTCGTAAATTAGGATATTTGTTAGGTGCAAGGTTCAAAATCATAAGAATAAATATTGTCTAAAAAAACTCAACCAGAGATAGGCTACTTTTTTTTGACACAAGAACACTACAATCTGCCTTAAAATATGTGTGCAAGGCTGCTTTTAAGGTTACAGTAGTGATGGACGTTCGGATTTTCTAATGAAAACTTTTGTGACAATCTTCCCAGGTTTGTACTCAACATGAAAAATATGTAGACAGCAATCATAATTCCAGTCAGATAAAACATTACCATGATCTGAAAAGTTTCTTACAATTAAGTTATGTAACCCAACTGAAGCAGGTTTCACTTGTTTAAGTTCCATCTCGGTTTTCTGTGATGAAATAAAATTACGTTCCCCCAGATCCGTTTCTCAGTTTACCCGCACTGCAGTTTTTCAAGTAAAGTTTAGTCACAGGCACAGTATGCTGTCATGTACTGATTGTGTTCGCTTCACCATCTGCTGAATCACCAATGCGCAATATTATCGGTTCACCGCTTCTTAAATCTGATCTCAGTGTACTGTTACTAAATAAGTAAATATTGGTTTATTTCGATTCAAAGGCGGGTATCAGGCATGTTAAAAGTAAGTTGTTTGTGGATAAGTGCTCAACGTTACTGGAGATGTGAATCATTTCAAATGATTCAGTTCAATATGGTAAATTAGTTCAACAGGTTCACTTAGAAGATCCGGTTAATCGGTTTAAATGATTGGTTTGCGAGATCGGCAATACAGAAATAAAACCCATTGTTGGCACAAATATGTTCATTTCTACTCAGGTTGTATTTAATGTTGTCACCATGCTGTTGTCAGCTCCGGCCATTGTTTTTGTCGCGGGAGCAACAATGAGGATGCCTGGAGGAGAACCGACAAGATCTGTCCGCATGATTACAGACTCTGAAGGTGCTGAACGGGTCAAACACCTGCCGTAAAACAGGCACCGCGAAGTAAACGGATTTAGGCCACTTCTAAAAGGCATACAGTAGGTATGTATTAAATACATTTACAAAGACGAAAAGGACAGTTAGTTTTGTATGAACACAATACAGTTTCAGTTAGTTCTAGTTTAAAAAAAAAAATTCTTTTTTCAGTTAATGAAAATGTTTATTTAATTCTAGTTTTCGTTTTCGTTAACTATAATAACATCGGTTGCCGTTTTTTTTTATCAGATATACACCACAATATAGAAATAGCTACTTTGTTTGGCTATAACTTAAAGTTTGGTTTAAGCCAAAAAAAAAATAATTGCAATTTGGGTCATTCACTGCTTGTCAGGCATTTTTATTTGTATCAACTTAAATTCAAGATTTAATTTTATTTTTAAAAGAAATGAAAACACAGTTGTGCTATTTCTGCTATGGCAAAAATAGCAGTAGTGCATGCAAGTCTATGTATTTGATATTAGTTCAATCACAATTCTATCTGCAAATTATGAGTACACAATGATACAATTGAAGTCATACAATACAAGTATATTCTCCAGAGTAATAGTGTACCTACTTGTAATTTCTCCTCCACCCAATTACCAATGAGCACTTTGTTGCCATACTTCTGCTCTATTTTCCAACCAGGCTGGCTCCACTTGTCATAAGGGTTTTGCATTTTATACATGCTGTATTGTTATAGTTCAAACTCCTCACAGTCTGCAGACCTCCAGCAGGATCAGATACTCACTTATGATATAGATCACCGGCTCTCTATAGCCATCAAAGCAGGAGACATTCTAGAGTTCTGTTGCCATGGACACAACAAACACTAGTGCTGGCGCAATGGGAGCAGCTGCAGCAAGAGAAGTTTCATCAGATTCCTTTAAACGCACCATGCAAATGCTGACTACACTCTGAATGATGATAATTAGCTTTACTTGTAGCACCAAAGGAAAGACTGCAGTCTCATACAAATGAGGCTGTACAAAGGACATGAGATGTGGAAGGAATTTTTAATGTATCGCACTCTGAAATATCATTCATGATTCAACGGACAAATTAAGCATTGTTTGGACTTAACAAAAAGAGTTTGGAACTTATAAAGTCAATCAAAAACAGTTGAAATCACAATCCCTGGTAAATCAAATACTAAATACTGCTGAATGTAAATGATTCTTAAAAGGAATAAAAAATAAAAAAAAGTTTTACTGTAGATTGCAGCAGAGCATTGCTTAATGTTTAACAGGCTTGGTTCCCGATGTTATTTTTCTATTAATTTTTTCCAAAGTGATTACAAAAGTAAAGGTCTTTACGTGTTATAATCCATGAACCAAATCAACCAGCTCATTATAACTATAAAGGGCCTTGATGTCCCTACAAGATTAAGTCAGTCATATCTATCTATCTATCTATCTATCTATCTATCTATCTATCTATCTATCTATCTATCTATCTATCTATCTATCTATCTATCTATCTATCTATCTATCTATATATATATATATATATACACACATAATGACATTCTGAGGCTTTAATATAAATGGGCAAACCTACACACATATAAGTACAATGATGAGTCTCTTGATATGTGTTTTCCTAATTTTATGCCATTTCCTTTAATTGGAAAAGTAAAAAAAAAATATATATATATATATATATATATATATATATATATATATATATATATATATATATATATATATATATATATATATATATATATATATATATATATATGTGTGTGTGTGTGTGTGTTATTTGACATTTCCCTTACTGCTTTGCTGATTTTAGTGATTGTAAAAAGTAGATAAATTGAACAAATTAAAATAATTTTTAATATTTGTATTGTCCTTAACAAGGTATTTCATGATATAAGTAATTTTGGTAACATATGTGTTGTTTTCATAATGATATTAAAGAGCCACTATTATGGGTTTTTGAAAATGACCTTCCATGCAGTGTGTAACAAAGCTTGTGAAGTGAAATATGCCAACGCAATCTCACAGCAATTCGTAACTTTTTGATTTAGTGCTGATTCGTATGAATTTGTATGATCTAATTCGTACTGTTTAGTATGATTTGCTCATCACCCAATGACGGTTGGGGTTAGGGGTGGGGTGCCAAGCTTCCTGTTTAAAATCCTACATTTTCGTATGACTGAACTCGTACGAATTTGTACAAATTAGCCACTAAACTGACAAAACGTAAAAATTCTTACGTGCAGGCGCCGTTATTAGCAGCAGGCTAGCGCAGAAATTTCATTGAAAATACTGGGGTAAAATTAATTTCCATATTTTAAAGACAAGGCGGGGAATTTTTTTTTTTTTTAGAGCAGTGCTTCTTGTTTGGTCTGATAGCCACTTTATATCGTATCTCAGCCAGGCAGTGAGAATCACTGTTTTTTTTAAAGAAGTCAGATCTTAAACATGGCAATTTTGTATGGGATGACAATTCAAATTAAAAGTCTGTGCATATACCGCATTTTCTGATTGGTTGATATTACTTCACAGAATCATATACAGTATATTTTCTCTAAAAATGTAACATTATCATTAAAAATCTAACTTTTACAGGCAGACTTCTGTATTTAGAAACTTCTTACCATTCCTAATATTTTGCCTTCTCAATCATAGAGACTTTACATATCTTACAATGCTGTCCAATCCCCTTTGGGATGACTGAAATGTCAACCAGCCCTGGTTGAAGAAACTGATGACCCCATGAAAGCCCTCAGGTAGGTGTTCCCATGTGACGTCCACTCCTAAATCCCTCAGTCGCTTCTGGTACAGAAAGCCATCATCTCTCAGCACATCAAACTCACAGGTCAAAACAAAAGCGGGAGGCACAAGACAAAGAACATCGTCCTCAGCTAGTAACGGGGAGATCTCTGGATCAAGGCCTTGTTTGACGATGTGATATACATCAGCATCATGGCTTGAAAGATCCTGCTGACATCTTGCTTGTTTTATGAACTGAGGTGGAAGACTGTTCGGATCCAGCCATTTCTTATAGCGAAGTTTTAACTCGGCAGGAACATGCCTGCCTTCCAGAATCTGCTGGCTCACGGACGTGTTCCCGTTGAGGTACTGCAGGAAATAAAACACCGTTCGGCCTCTGAACAATATGGGCACAGAGTGGTTCTGCTGGTATGAGGGCAGGTGGAAATCTGCCATCTGCAGGGCCGGGTAGATGAGAACCTGGGCACAGGGAGATGGCAGATGACCGTCCTGTGTCTTCGACAGCCTCTGGCAGAGAGCGGCTGCCAGGTTCGCCCCTGCGCTGTCGCCACCAACTGCCACCTTGCATGGGTCAACTCCGAAATCAGTCGCTGCTATTGAAAGGAAGTGGCGAGTCGCGACCTCACAGTCATCCAGGTGGGCAGGATACCTGTGCTCGGGGGCCAGGCGGTAACTAAACAATGGGAAACAGAGATGGAATAAATCATAAATCTAAACAGGCCAGCACTGAACAGCAAAAGTGAGGATGTCAAAAGTCAGCTAACCCAACAGACACAACTGTCGTATCACTCTTCAGTGATATATGCTGACACACTTCATCGTAATCATCTGCGGAGGAAGAGACAAAGACGTGTTAAGTATCAATGGAAAAGTGGTTCAATGTTTAAATGAGCGCTTATTACCAATGCAGCCAAACATCCATCCGCCACCATGAAAGTAAACCAGTCCTCTTTTTTTCTCTCCCGAGGCAGCTGTAGGCTCATACACCCTCACTGGAACTGTACTGAAGGTCAAGTCCTTAATACGGAGCCCGTGGGGTACTGACCTTTTGCAGGTCATTATATGACATCTGCACCATCCCACAAAATTATACTGATGGCACAGGCCCAGTCGCTCCAGAATATAGCCCTAAAGATGATTTGAATACAAAAGAGACTCATTGACAATGATTGGCCGATTCATAAAACTTACATTGTGATTAAATGTGCCATTTAGTGGGTAAAGCAGTTTCTTGGGCATTTGAATTCTGCAGTCATATTCTGAGATAAGCAGAAAAGCTCAAATCTCTTTATCTTGCCCTTGAGAGAATATGAATCTTGTGGTTGAAAAACACTTGCTCTATGTCTGGTGTATTCCCAGTTTTAATAAATTGCACCTCACTGAAGGGTTATTAAATAACTCTTTTGAGTGCTGTTGTCTTAAGCTTTCTAAATCACAGAGAATAATTTCATTTACAACTACAAATTTCAGGAGACATTATCATCTTGCAATGTGGAGAACATTTGGAAAAATTAAACACAAGCTTTAGTATCTTTAGACTGCTGTGGAGATGAGAATTTAACAAGAAATTGGACAAAAGGAATAAATTTGCCAGAGAAAGGGAAAAAATGATAATAAACAGCATGAACACTCACCAAACAGGTGATCCCCATATATGTGCAATGGATTACACGTAGTTTTGCAGGACTGTCAACTCCAGGAGGAATATTTACATTTCTCAGCTCAAAGTAGACCAGTAAACAAAAAGCAGCAAAAAGTGCTGCAAATGCACTGATGAGAATTGCAGTTGCTGTGTTCATGACTGCTTCGGCTTGCTGCACGGACCACAAAGACAGTTCAAAATACATGTTCCCACCCTTTTATATACAGGTGCAAGGTCAATGTGTGACTGTTGTTGTTACATCATGACAAGATATTCCAAACCTTTTAAATACCCCCTGGTGGAAGGGTGGAGTATATAAAAATCCCATCCTCTATGGATTAAAATAGACATGAGCAAAAGTTAAACATCTAATTATTAAATATATCCTTCCATTCTTGAGTTTGGTTTATTAATTTGATTCTGAATATAGTGGAGCACAGACTTTTATGAACTATCTATAGCAAGCTAGAGGTGATAATGATTACAATACAGTGAGTTTATGAAACAGTGTCAGCAGAAATGAGTAACAGGCTTAGAGTAAAGCATAAGGGCCTTGTTCTCATCTATAGCCTACTATCCAAGGAAATTAGAGGCCTGATCAGTCTATGAATGAAAGAAATCCTGACAAAAGGCTTATCCTCAGAAGCTACTGTATTCTAGCTAACAAGACAGCTAATTAAAATATAATTAACAATTATAACAACAACACATGTGAAATGAATGTTTACATTGAGATAATTGATAGTGGAATGGCTTTAGAGAAGACAAACGCTGCATATTCATTAGGCGAAAATTTGCTTTATTTACTCTTAATCCTATTAAAATGACTATGCAAATTCACATTAATAATAAACCTATCTTCCATGACAGTCAATGTTTGTAAAGTGGCTATTACTAAAAACACATCTGATTTTTATTTATTTATTTTTTATTGTGAAATTTCACTGTTGATCTGTAGATGGCAGTGACACTCTAACTGAAAGAAAAACAAATCATTTTGTGTTTAGCATCATCATGCTTCTATACATCTACAAGAAAACAGAAAAGGCCTCACGAGTGAACACAAAACAGAGGAAAATGGCTCTACGTTATTCTGAAATACTAAAAATTAAGTTTTATTGTCTGTGTTTAAACACCATATCCAGAAATGGGTAAATTGAAGTGAAACATGCATTTTAGTCCACCAGACAACCATTAAGCCTTCTCTGAGAGTTGCTGGGCCATTACTAAGAGGCACAGCATAGCACAATGCATTCTTTGTGAGGCTGCGTTTCGACCCAGTCCAGTCTGATCAGCCCTCCATTCAGCTTTTAAGCAGGAGAAGCAGAGGCCAGGCCAAAAATCACAGTCTGGAATCTCCACAGCGGCTCCTGGGTTTACTGTGAGTTTAAGAGTCATTTACAAAGGTCTGCATGTTCTGGCGGTGGAATACTTCCCTACCCCGAGTCTGAGCTCTGTGGACTGAAAAGAGCAACAGGAAAAGGAAAGTAACCACATTTAGGACATACAGAACATTTGTTCAGTTACACAGGTCTCACACTTACAGTGCTTAGCATAAATGAGTACACATTTTTTTTTATATCAATTTCTCAATCAATTTGGCCAATAGTTTTTGGTACAAAACGACTGATTATATTAAACAGTCATATCTACTGTATTAAAATGAGAGTTTGGTCACCTAAAATCTTTACGAATAGAATGATTAATTTACATACAAATTCAAATGAGTTATTGCAAAAATATAACAATAATAAATCAACAAAATTGTTTTTTTCTCTCTCTCTTGATATTTTTCTGTTTATTAACATTTTATTTAATATTTTAAGCAGTTATTAACATTTTATTTAATTTTTTAAGCAGTTTATTAACATTTTATTTAATGTTTTTCCCCCAACATTCTCAGACTTTGATCTTATTATTGTTTTGTGTTTGTTTTTTGTTAGATTGAATCCAGTTTTGGCTTTGGTACTGACTAAGCTAATGTATATGCATAAGTATATTATTGTAAAGCATCCTATAGAAAATATTAATTTAAAAGAGAGGTCTGTGAGAAGTGTAGTTGTTGTGCTAAGCATATATTGTAAAGTTTGGAAGTTTAGAAAAAAGACTACCAAAAAGTTTTAGTATGTTAACCACAGTTCAGAATATATCTACACAATATTGACTATGATTATATTGAATATTGACACAAGTTACTTGGTAGCTTAACGCTAGGCTCACTCGGAACCTGCACACACAGAAATCTGCAAATTTCCACAGATTTTTAGCCCATCGTTTAGTATTTACTTTTGTAAATTTTTGTAAATGTGTGTAAATTTGTATTTGTTCAGTTTTTAAATTAATTTCACTAATATTATTGTGATATAATGACAGTAATATTAAAATGTCCATATGATTTATTTACAAAAGTTAAGTTTGTACAATAACATTTTCTGTATTTTAGTAGTTAAATTATATAGGACACTAGCTTTGTTTACCAAATAAGTGGATCTAATTGAATTTGCATTGTAAAGCATATTTTTTTATTTCATATATATAGTTTTTAGCTATGATATTCCTAAAATCATTCCACATAAATCTGCAGATTTTTTACAAAATTCTCAGCAGAAATAGCAAAAAAATGTCAGTCCAATACAAAATGTCATTCAAGAAGTTGTTTATTAATTAATCTTAAGCATGATCTTTTAGTTTAGCATACTAAAATCAAGTTAATCCAATTCACAAAAAAAAAAGAAAGAAAGGCAGTTAAAGAATAATGCATCTAAATGTCTGGCCATATACAATAAATAACTTGGAAATAGAGGAACAAAATGGCCTTTATTTGTGTTGTAAAACGTCTGTTATTTATTTTATTTAATGAAACAACATTTAAAATAGTTAAAAGTCATTTATAATTTTGTTTTGTAGACATTTGAGTCGACTCATCAATGATTCAAGGACTCATTACAACTTTGCAGTAATGTGAACAAATCATAGCGAACTGATTCAAAAGATTCGAATCACTGGAATGAATCAAAATAACCCAGCCAGCACTAGATACGATAAGCACAGGTTGAAAGGCAGCGAAATTGCCTGTGGCACCACTTCTGGGGGAGGAGACTCAGCCGTCATAAAGAAACCCTCACGCCAACCGTTGATAAAGCAATACTTCTGTCAGTCCTCCAGCTGTCAATCAAGATAAATAGTCTCTTAAAAACCCCTATCAGACCCGAGGTATCGTCATAGTTGGACTCTGGCCGCTGTCAGTAGCGACAGGACTCAGTCTCCGGTGCAAAACAGCAGCGCACACTTGTCGCAGCAAGAGCTCCGTGGATAAAGAGTTTATGTCGGAATAAAGGTGCGCAAAATGACAGATATTCCTCAGAGGCGCACATGAACTGCCTTGGACCGCGTTTCACTCTATTAAGAGTGAGTCAGCTCTGCAAAATAAGGCGAATTGCCTTATTCACTCATTTAAATAGGAGTAAAGGTGATCGCTCCGAGCAAGGATTCAATTAGTTCGGCAATTGTTCCAGGCGAGAACTGAGATAAGCGGACACTGAGACGGAGTGAAATGGATCTGAAGGCGCTGGGCTGCGTGGTGCTCTTACCTATTCAGATACTATACTATACTGTCAAGGCGACCGTGTGCTGGTTCCTACCGAGCAGGCGGAGAGATCTGACCGGAGATGTAGTGCTTATCACGGGTGGCGGACGGGGCATTGGCCGTCACCTGGCTAAGGAGTTCGCCGTGCGTGGAGCTAAAAAGGTAAGCCCTTTGTAACATTATTTTGGCCATATGGCTGTATGTGTGTCATATTTAAGTTGTGAACTTTATTTAAACAGTGCCAATGTGGTGTTAGAATAGTTATAATATAGTTACCATAGTCTTAAACTTTAATAACACATTCATGCGCTATTTGGCACATAACAAAGAAGTAAAACTGTTATTAATGTAAACAATAATTTCGCCACATAATATTGTCACTATCCCAGAGGGTTTTACATTTCTGTCCCACTCTTAAAAAACATTTGGCGTGAAACTTTAAAATTGTTTTGAAATTGTAGACATAAAAGTAAACATTTAAAACATAAATGAAACAAATTTATAGTATTTCCTTAATTGTTTATTTATAGGATTTTTCCCAATATTTTCAAATGAATGCATGGAAGCAGTAGTTTAACAATGATGAAAATGTGTGATCTGTCTTTTTGTTGTAACAATACCTTATGTTTTAGATGTGGTCATTTGTGTAGGATAATCCACATCAACAAATCACTAGTCTAATAATGGATGAGTTTGTTTTGTTTTGCAATGTATCACCCTGCATGCCCTATTCCTCTCCCTAGGGACATTACATGTCCTGTTCATAAGCCCATTGTCTCAACAGTGCATAGGTCATGACCTCTTTGGTCAACAAACCAATCAAAATGTAGAACTGGAACCCAATGTCTGGTTCAACTGGGTCATTTAAACAGCTATTTGATGGAAAAACACCCATCTTTCAAACTTTGACAGCTCTGATGTTCAAATTATTACTGGGTCTAGTTGAAAAACCTCTAGAGGGGCCAGTGGCCCAAGAAGTTCATGGTGCCAAAAGCTTTGACCTTGGCAAAAATCTTGAAATATTAGGCATCTGCCTTTCTCTATGAATCTTTATTCCATTACAAACTCTGTCTGGAGTATTGCATGCCTATATTAAATCTCATATTGGCAGTGGTGTAGTTATATATATATATATATATATATATATATATATATATATATATATATATATATATATATATATTTGTCTCAGCAGTCAGAATCTAATGAAACGAGACTGTGTGCTGAAAGTCATAAGCTGGGAAGAAATGTCTCAGCTGCCTCACCCACCCAAGACATTGCATTATAAATAGACCCAGTGGCCCAACTGTAATAAACAGGGCTTAATAACTTCTGTAACCACAGTGACAGGGGCCCCAGTGTTTGGCGGCATTACACCCAAGGCTTTACTTTGATTTACAAACATTTCCCCCTTGAGAAGGTTGTGTGTACGAGACTAAATAAAGCCCATCATAAAAGCCTTAGCGCAAACCTTACCACTCTCAGACCTTAGATCCCTGAATGCTCGCTGACACAACTCACCTTTTACATCATCATGTTAAAGGAAGCCACCGTGCTTGTCAACACCCCATTGTTAGCCATTGTCAAGGTGTGAAAGCTTTGGAAGAGACACCTGCAGTCGCTGGCTTAACAGTTAGCCTATTCTTAAGGAATGCTAAAAAGCCAAGAATCATAAATGCACAGGCTCAGAGTTAACTTGACCACCCTCACCTCTAAGTGGAGGTTGTAATTTTCCAGAAAGCAGGCTGTTATTATGGGGTCCAAGAAGTCAGCAAGTCCTCACTGCATGGCAATTTAACACTGGAAATATCTTGCAAGAGTGGTGTCATTAACCACTAGCCATACCCTAAACAGTGATTTGAAGAACCAAAAAAAGAACTTCTGGAAGTTACAGAAGCACCGTCATCTGTGACCATCCATGTGGTCTCATGGCTGATGGCTTAAGGAAGTGTGAAGGAAGTGAGCCCTATGTAAATTGCTTTCTGCATGTGTATGGGCTGGGGGGAGGGTGGCAGGGACCATACAGCTCCCAGCTGGGCAGTGCCCTGTGACTGACCCTTCTGTCTCCACACTAATTAGACAGCGGCAGGCGACTGCCTCCTGAACTCCTTGCGCCCCCGTCCACATACAGACCCATTCAGTAGGGAGTAAAGTGGATTACTTGGGCTATGTTTACACTTATCTTGATACATTTGAAGGGGCGATCTGTTTTAAGACTACTGTCCACACTAAGATTGTGTTCAGACTTGAGCACAAAGAGGTTAAGTTTGATTCAATCAAACTTCGATTTGATTACTGCAGTCCAGTAGATTAAGTGTTAATACACTTGGGCTCAAAAAGCAGATCAATGCTTCTGAAAAGTTGAGTCTTGGTCTACTTTGAAACAAACTGATCCATTTTGACTGAAATGTGAATGCAGACTGGACCAAAACAGGGTGTGTATTTACAAGATGCAGCCGTAAAAATGGATTACTCAAGCATGCTCAATCATTCGTGATCATTTTAGGAGATAGACTGCACTTTACAGTTTGGTGCACTGCAGGCATAGGAAATGCTGCCTCGTTGCAGCAGATTTTTTGTTTAAGGAATTCCAAGTACTGTTTTGACTATTTACACATTTTATAACCTCTTCATGTGTTCTCAGATAAAAGAAATACTATCGTGTGTATTTGCACATAAAACCAGCACATCAAGATCAGTTCAGATTTAGTTTCAGTCTTAAGTTGTAAGTTGTATACTTATGTATTGTGGCTGTTTCCTTTTATAGATTGGTTGGATTTATGTGACTTATTTCACTTAATTTATTTATTTTGTCTTGTGGTTCTGTGTTTCTGTGTTTTGTGTGTTATGGCAGTCATTACATAAGCAATTTCCTGCGGGATCAATAAAGTTTTCTAAGTCTAAGTCTAAGTATGACAGTGGGAATGCTAAGGAAACTGAACTGCAATTGTCAACACAATCTAAGACAGCAATTCTGTTCCATGTGAAGGAATTTGGAAAAAAAATTGGTCCCACTTTATATCAAGTGGCCTTAACTAATATGTACTTACACAGGAATTAATAGTTTGTTACAATTGTACTTATTGTGTAAATACATGTATTTACTGTGTACTTATGCTTAATTAAATACATGTATGTAATTACATTTGTAATGAACTACCATCCCTTACACCTTAAACCACCCTTAAACCTACCCATGCCACCAAACTTGTCCATAACCCAACCTCTATCCCAACTCAAAAGCACCACAAGTGTTCTCAAATACATTATAAACACAGTAAGTACGTTGTATTTATTTTGTGATGTCAGTACATAGTAGTTAAGGACACTTAATATAAAGTGGGACCAAATTTTTTTTTATAATATTTCATGTTGTATGAGAAGCCTTAGGAAAACCTTTGTGTGTATGGACAAAGACCATTTTTAAATTGCATACACATTAATGTAGACCTGCACTACTGGTCAAAAGTTTGGGGTCAGTTGTTTTTTTTTTATGTGTTTTTTTCCTGTCATTATTGCTTTTATTACTATTATCATTAAAATAATAATATTAATAATAACAATGTTAATAATTAGAGTGATCTTTGAAGGATAATGTGACTGAAGACTGGAGTAAGCTGAAAGTTCATCATTAAAATCACTGGAGTAAATGTTTAAATTAAATTATAAACTACTTTTGAACAGTTATTTTATAGTGCAATAACATTTCACAGTTTAAATTTTTTTATTTATTTCTGATTAAATAAATGCAGTCTTGGTGAGCAGGAGAAGCTTATTTTAAAACGTTTAAAAATCCTAATGACCCCAAACTTTTGACCGGTAGTGTGTCTTTTGTGTGCAATTAGGCAAATTATACTTTAGGTCTTGCAACAATATCGAAAACCAACTGCAACTAATTGTTATTCAGTAACTAATTATACAAGGTTTTTGTTATCTTCACTCAGTTTCTGTCTTCAAAATAAAATATTTTCTCCATCAAACTTAAGAAAAACTTTTGTGCCAATTATTAATGTTGTCTTTAATAACCCATCATTTGATTTTTTTTACATTTTGACCTACTGTAATATAATGTAATAATTGTTAAACTTATAGCATTAGCAAACTTTAGTATAAAGAAATGCCAAATCATATGCAGTTTTTTTTAAACCAGTGACCATAATCAAGTATTATTTACAAAAAATATACTTATTTTATTATGTGATTATGTGAGCCTGTATTTCGGCCACAAGTTTTTTTTTTTTTTTTCCTTTAAATCCCTGAAATAGATGAGTGCTCTTTTATATGGTAATAACATTAAATATGTAGATCTGACAGCAGTCAATTGCACACAATTTCAAGATAATTTTCTATTTATAAATGCCACATCTGGAAGAGTAGCATACTCACAGGTTTTTGTACGCACATTCGTTTTCTCTGAATCACACTTACACCCTTCTGCGAAATTATGCTAGAACAAATTTAAAACGTTTTCTGTGCAACATTTTATAAATGAGGCGCCGGATTACAAAGCTACTCATAAGAGCTTCACATACATAGCACTGATTATTTGTGTGTTTATCTTTAAGGAAACACAATGTGTATCCTCACAGGACTGGATTAAGCACGGTTTGTTTGCTCCTTATTTTCGCATATTATATGCTAATGCGGTGCACTCAGCCATTGCTACTCTAAGGACTTGAGTGATAAGACTTGCTAATGTGATGTGTGCAGATGAAGCTCATAGTGGGATTGTATGGGAGACCACCTTGTGAGCTCTTGTTCTCTGACAGAAATATCAAGATTGTTGTGAAATCCTATTACAAGCTTAATCAAGACCTTCTCAGTAATTAGCTCAAAGGCCATGAATATAAAACAGGCCTGTGCTAAAACACACAGGCATCCATTAGGCCAAAAAGGTGAAACCACCTGCAGATCAGACCATCTTTTGCCTCATTCATCACTGATAGGGATATACGCGTATAACGGTTTAGGTTAATTAGTTTAGGTCACTTAAAATCTTTATCTGGACATAATGCATTTAACCAGAAATCCAACCTTCTTCAATTTTTGGTGCGTAAAGTTTCTTCACATTTCAGACTGACCCCAGTAATGACTCCACTTTTCCATGAAGCCGGCTGAAATGCATACTTAACAAAATGAAAACACCACATGCTCAGAGGCTG